GTCTTCACATCTACTTTGGATCAAGATGCTGCTGATGGTAATTCTATTATAATAATTATTAGAATCATGGGGTTTCAGAGATTTCAAATTATGGTATGAACCAAAGGAAGCATGTGCAGTTTTCTATAGTGAATGTGATTACAAGGGAGCTTCATTTGAATTCTGTTCTAAATCACCAAACTTCTAAAATGACAACATTCCACCATAAATTAGATCCATTAGAGTTCCACCATAAGGAAGAGTCACCTTATATGAAAACACCGATTATAATGGAAAGAAGGTTACTTATACCTCAGATCAAGCTTGCATCTAAAACTTTGATGTAATTATTTTAATCTATTTTATTAGTTTGCCTTAATTCAAATGAGTGGACATGTTGAAGGAGGTTGGGTTGAAGTTCAGCAATGATCTATAATAAGAATAATAATCAATAATCATAAAAATTATTTTTAATATATTTAACAGGTATATATTTGCCTTTCTTATTAAAATTATATTAGAATAATTTATGTAAATTTAATGTACCATCTAGATGTTATAAAATATTAATAACACATTTATACAAAATTACTCAAAATTGATTGTACTTATGCGTTGAATCAATTTAAAATACAACTGAAACGCAAACTCTCTTTGATTAAAAAAATTTATATCATAAATTTTTAAAATGTTAAAAGGAAGGATCATCCAATTAGATTTTAAAAAGGATGATAATGATTTATTCGATCTTGTATAAAATAAAAATGACGTTTTTTTTTTTAATTTTTATTTTATTGTCATTTATATTATTAATTTTTGATAATCGATACAACTTATTTATTAATATCAAAGATATTTTTCCAATTTTCTACTAGATGATGAATGTGACCCTAATTTTATTCTATCAATAAGTATTGGTCTTGGTGATAGAAATACTTTTGATGATATGTCTTTAACTATTGAATTTTAATTAGATGTAAAATTTGGTTGTTCATATTCTTCTAGAATTTTAAGAATATCGGTCGATAAATCACAATAATTAATATCTACAGTATTTAATAGTTCTCCATTGTTGTTGAAATAATGAGTGATATAATGATATTAAAAGGGATTTTCTCTTACAATTTCTGTCCATTCACCAATTTTAAGTCCATTATGATATTGACCTCCTCCTTTGATATGTGGCCTATCTCTGACTTTGATGCACCAAAATCCTTACTAAACTTTATTATTTAAAATTTGTCCTTCTTCATATATATTATAATAAAATATAATACATCAGTTCTTGAGTCTATGCTGAGTAATATATAATGAATCTCGAAAGATCTGGACGATGGGACTCGAAATCTTTATCTATATCTTTCAAATGCCAAGATGTCTCACCCATTTATAAATGTTAGGCAATACTTCCTTACTTTGAATGTTCATTTATTAATTTAAACTTTAACGATTATTCATGTAGAATATTGAAATATTGTTTCATAATATGAGTACCTTTATTAACAGATTATTGAAATTCCTTCCAACTTTCATCTTAAAGAAGATATAAATTTCTATTTAGGTTTTCATCATTAAAACCTAGAGGATTCGAACTTAATTAATCTAATACTTATATAATATTAGCAAAACTATTTCTTATATTAGATTTGATATTTTCTACTCTATCCTCTAATTATGAAAATTATTATTGAATTATTTGAATACAAGAATTTATTTTGGTTTTCAATATAAAAGATATTTCATCTATTTTATTTGCAGTCTAATAATTTATTTTTATTTAATTGATTCTTTACAAAAATTATTCAATGCTTAAACTTTAATCAATATGTGGATGATTTTATGATTTAATACACAATTCACATAAATATCTATTTGTGCATGATAACTTTGAAACACAAATTCTGATAATTTTTTTGGATTGATGACCTGCTATTTTACAATATCTGAAAGTCTTAAACAAGCTAGACATTGAATTTGAAATAATTTTAAATATTCAAAAATTTTATATTATTAGAATTAAATGAGTATACTAAATATTTTATCATAAATTAGAACATAAAGAAGCCTTATATTCATTATTATTGATGTTTTTATTAAACTATGAATTCTATTCATAAATAATTTATTGTCAGGATAATATATAAAAAATATGAATTAATTTGCATTTTAATAAATATAATTCATATTGCTTTTTATGTCTAAACCATATAAATTTGATGATATCTCTGTTGGAAAGGATGTAGGAGATTATATCATTTTCAAAAAACACTTAGGTATTTATAATTGTTAATTAGGAAGGGGAAAGTGTGGAGAAGTCTTTTTGGGTAAATCAAAGAAACTCGATATAAAAGTTGCTGTAAAACAATCGAAAAATAATGGAGTTTTAAGTCAAGAAAGATTAAACGAAATAATGAATGTAATCAAATTTCAATGTTTTAGAGTAGAGAAATTTAAGTCATGCAAAAAGTTAAATCGGAGAATTTAGTTGGATTCTATGATTTTAAAGTATCTTAAAATCACATTTATTTATTTATTGAATATTGTGATGGAGGAACTTTAACAGAATTTATGAGAAAAAAGTATAAATCTTTCATTGTATAGTAAGTCCAAATATATCAGATGAATAAATTGTAGATATCTTTTAGTAAATTGCCAAAGGTTTTTAAGCTTTGTATAAAGAGAATGTAATACATCGAGATTTAAAGCCAGATAACATTTTAATCCATTAAAATGTAATTAAGATTGCAGATTTTGGATTTGCTCGATTTGTTGAAGGAAATCCAGAAAAAGCAGGAATGTATACATTAAAGGGGTATGAATATTATAAAGTTAATTAGAACACCCTTATATGTTCCTCCTTAAATATTTGATGACAAAAAATATTCAAATTAATTTGATATTTGGTCATTTGGATGTATTTTATATGAATTAGCATTTGGAAGGAATATTCATGAATCAATATTAGATTTAGGTTAATTAAGAACTAGATTGGGGTCATTTAAGGTACTTTTATTGATTTTAAATCACTAGAATTAGAAAGTTTAGTTTCCTAAAAATAATAGAAATCCTAAGATTATTTAAATGATTAGTAGAATGCTTGAATATTATGAAGAGAATAGAATAACTTGGCCATAAATTTTTGAAAATGAGATGTTTTTAAAATCTCCAAAACAATTTCTAGAAATTGAAAATGAAGTTTAAAAGAAAGATAATAATAAATTTTAGGAAAAGTTGTAGAACTTAAAGATTTTTACTTAATTATCAGAATAATTTGAAGAAATAAAGTAGAAATCAATAAAAATTTAGTTGTGATCATTTTTTTTTATTAAAATGGAAATGTATTCTCTTTTATTTTTGGAAGTTCTTTTTGGAAAGTTTTCGTAAATAGATATCTGAGTAAAACATTCAAAATTTTTCGATTAGCTATAAGAATGGTAAGATATGAATATAATAAATTAAAAGGTTGTATAATTTAAAGTGATTTAATACCATAATATATAGATGACCTAAAATTTGAAGTGTAAAAATAGTTATAATTTTTATGTACTGTTACAAAACAGTGGATAGAAAAACCAAAGAATTTATCAAATAAAACAATTAATTTGGAAGAACTTAGTTTGATGAGTAATATTGAGAAATGCGATAATACTTAATTATTATTTTTTGTCGAAAAATATGGCTTTGGTACATTTATAAATGAGATCGATTTTAATATAAAATAGATGATAAAAATAATTAAAGATGAGCTGGCTTGAATTAATTATATATATATATATTTAATGTAAATTAATTTTTGCACTCCATAGTTCTTCTTTAATATTTCTCAAAAGTTCCCATTTGTTGTTTATGATTTTAGAGAAAATCAAAATGGCTACTTAAAAAATAGTGTTCACTTATCAAATCTGGATGATGATATGGAGACAATATCAGATTTTTAAAAGTATCTTGAGTATCCAGAATAAATATCTGAGAGACAGAAATTAGAAAAATTGTTTAACAATAGAAAGAGGATTTATAATTTTTTTGTTTCATTTGATACTTCAGACATGTTCAGTTTGATTTTTAAGCAAAAAGTTAAAGTTGAAGGATCATAAGTTTCAGACTAATTCTCTATTTCTGCAGATTTAGTTATTTAAATGTGGCAGGAAGTTGATAAAATGACCAAGAAAGATAATACACTTAAAAAGAAAAACCGAGCTTAGACATTAATGTTATAACCTATTAATGATGAAATTAATGAAGGTGATTCACAATAAAATTTATTTTATTTAGGAATAAAATAGCCTATAGTATCAAGTAGAAGATTTCTTGAATATCATGGTAACAATTTGTTTTTAATTTAAAGAAACCACAATTTCAAACGGTCCAAAGATTAAATATAGATCAGTTAGTCAACCAAAGTTAGAAGGTTCAGGAAATGATTGTATATATTCTAATTCAGAGCTATTTGAAGCAACTTTGAAAGCATATGAAATATTTTTAAAAGAGAAAATTAGACAAATTTTCATAGTTTTGGACCCTATACAAATTATTTTTGCGAATTATCCTTTTTTAAATTATAGTTTAGTTCGTAATAGAGGCTTTTTAGATAAAACATTTCCTAATGAAATAATAGAAAAAAAATTATATTTAGGTAATGGTGAGCATGCTAAAGATACTGAAATGTTAATAGATATTTTAGGAATAACACATGTAGTTAATTCGACAGTTGAGATTAAGAATTATAGTAATTAATGTAATAGATATAATATATATAAATAATAGTAAAATATTTAAAAATAGAAATTTATGATGAACCTCATGTTTGTGTGAAGTAATATTTTGATTAAGTTTATTAATTCATTGATAATGCATTATAGGAAAATGGAAAGGTTTATTGTTTTCTTTATAAGAATTAAGGTTTTTATACATTGTGCTTAAGGTAAATCAAGATCTGCATGTTTTACTGTAATGTATTTAATGAGAAAAAATGAATGGCCATTTGAATAAGCATATGATTATGTGAGAGAATGTAGAGAAGATGTTTGTATTAATGAAGGATTTATAAATTAATTGATTGATTGATAATATGATTGATAGGAATTACTTATTTTATAAATTTATCATATAAATATATGAATTCAACCTAATAACCGACTAATATAACTCTTAATTAATAGAGATAGCATTCTAAATCAGTTTCAATTGCTGCTACTTAAAAACTTAGTTAATAATAAAAAAGAATTGAAAGATCGTATGAAGAAATTACAGCAGAAAAATAATTATCAAATGTAGAATAACAAAGACTTAATTCAGTTTTTAATTATCTTATGACTTTTAATAATGATAAGAATAAATAGAATGAACCAGGAATAACTGCTGAAATTTTAATGAATGCATTAGAAAAAGTAGATTTTCTATTACCAATTAAAGAAGCAGAATTATTTATTTGGGAAATAGATGAGGACGGAGATAAAAAGATTAATCATTATGAATTATAAATGATGTATAAAAGGTGTATTTTTGATCCTACTTTATTAGAACCAAGGTAATTATTACTAATTTATATAGAAATTTATTCAATATTATTTAGTTTTTTATGTATGATAAGGCTAAACATGGTAAAATTACTGTAGAAGATACTTTAGAATTATTATTTGTGCGTCATGGAAGAGGAGGTTTAGACGAAGAAATTTAAGCTATATTTGGAAGAGAAGAAAAAAATAGTGATGGAACTGAAAAAACATTAAATTTTACAGACTATTATGAAAAAACAAGAATTAGAGATTTTTAAAGAAGAAAGGAAGCAGAATAATCAAGAAAAGAAGTCAAACTTCCACCACTAGAAGATAAAAAATGAATTTTTATTATTTTTATATAAATAATATCATTATAAGTTGAGTTCTTTTTCTTATTCCAATCCTAAAGTTAATAATAATTATAAATATTCTAAAATTATATAATATTGATGTTAAGGTTTAATACTAAGAAAAACACAGATAATTCTATTTCATCAATTTTACATTTTGAACTTCTATTTGAGATTTAAAATATATCTTGTTTAGTAATTATTTAAAAGAAAATTGCTATTATTCATTTTTCCTAATTAATTTGTTTTAATCATGATGCTTAATAAATATAAAGGTCAGAAAAAAATTTAATTTAAATTGTTATGATAAATATTGAGTTCAAATTAACAAGAACTAGAAGATGTTATATAATTGAAAATTTAAGTCATGATGATCATATTTGTTCTAAAAAGGGTTAAAAATTATAGCAAGGAATGATTCTTAAAAAAATTAGTAATGGCAAACAATTCCTATGTGAGATTAGCTTTCAAATGATTTAATTAGATTAATAAATAATATATAACTAGTAGAAGTATAAGAAGAAATAAAATAAGGCATTAAACTAATTTTAAATTAAGCTAACTTATTATATAAATGTCTAATAAGGGGCTGAAGTTAAGAAGAATATTAACACTATAATAATTAATATAATAAAGATTAAAGAATCATGGTCAAATATATATCAGATTAATAAAATACATATTCTCTGTATAATATTTGATGAAATTGATAACTCAAAAATATTAGAAGATTAGTAATTCATAATGAAATTCACGAAAATATTATGATAATTATCAATTAATTCATCAATGATAAGTTCTCAAATAATCCTACTAAAATTTAGGCATTGATAAATTCAATCAAATCAATAAATAAATTTATAGAATTGGATGATCACACTCTTATTTGTCTTTTAAAATACATATACTATTTGATTATGTTCACAACTTGTATAGTATATCAATCAACTTTTTATGCTATTTTTTATCATTTTTATTTTTGGGCTTAAATATCATCTATTTTTCATCATATTATTCTAATTTAAAAAAGGTATCTTAATTAAATATTAATAGGATTAATTGTAAAATGGAAAATAGATTAAGTCTAAAAAGGATTATTGAAAGAATAGGTTATAAAAAAATATGTAAAAATAATGAAAAGATTATTTTCTTAAAGAACTTAATGAAGAAATGTTGAATTAAGATAACATTACTATTTATTATTTAAACAAATTAATTTATTAAGATTCTATTAGAGTGTATATTGAAACATTAGTATTCAGATTTAATTAATAAAATACTATAAACCTAATGATATTTAATAGATCATTCTTTAGCCAGTTCTCGAATTCCATTATCTATTAATTACTATATTTGTTCTGTCACTTAAAATATCATTATTTCATCATGGTTATTGCATAAATGTTATTTAAATTTATTAAAATTATCAAATTTATCATAACACTTTACACAAAAATAGAATTTGTACTCACAATGTTTCTGCAACAAATGAAGTAAGTAACCTTTTCTAGTTTTGCAAATCATTGAACATTTGTTACAAACGTTTTTATTTCCCCTTATAGTCCAACTGAGTCTTCCATTTAACTCATGTAAAATACATTGTTTGTAATCTTTTGCATATTTCTCTCTTTCTTTAAGATGATCATCCTTTCTTTCTTGAATTTCTATGTAATCACATTCATTAGAAAGAGCATGAGTAATTAATTGATCCAACAATTGAGACATTCTTTCTACATTTCTGTTTACTGTTGTTGTCACTTTACTTAATTGTTTCCATATCTCATCAACAGGCATTAAATTACCATTGTCTTACATCATTACTTTTTATTCTTTTAAGAAAGCTTGCTTATAATTTTATTAATAAAAAAGACAATTAAATTTGTATTATAAAATATTAAACATTTTAAAAATCTATTATAAATATTTTATTATTTTATTTAACTAACAAAAATCAACCTAATATAAAAATCATAACCTAGAAAATTAATTTATTTTTTATTAATAAAAGTAGTAGTGATCTTAATCTATAAATAATTAAAATTCTATTCGATCTAAGAATTCTTTTTCCATGTCATTCAATTCTTACATTGTGATTCCTCCAACTTTAGCGTAATAATCATTTCCATAAATATCATCATCTTAATATTTTATTGCTAAAACAATAGCAATAATTAAAAATCTAGTTTCTTAATTTTTAAATACCTATGCACACTTTATTTGTTTAATAATTATTCTTAATTTAGTTCTTAAATTCTATATAGATATATTAAAGCAATTAAAAGACATTCTTTGGAGCACTTCGTATATCTAACAATTCTAATCAAATAGTTTTCTAAAGAGATGTTAGGTAATTTCTCGGAATGGAATAAAGATTTTTTTATTTAAAAAATATCAGTTTCTTAAATTAACTCTTCCAAAATATTAGAAATACTCCTGAGAAATGTGTTTTCTGTGTATCTACAATGTTCTTCTTCATAAATAAGATTAATTTCGCTCATTCTTATTTTTAAACTTTAATTAAAAAAAACACGTGTATAACACTGACGTAAAATATTTTGACTTAAAAAATCAATCATAATACCGATACTTTATGAAGAGATGATTTAAATTTATTAAAGAAATTTATTTATAAAAATAGTATTGATTAATAAAATATATTAGAATTAGTGCTAAGAATCTAAAATTTAAAGTCATATGATTTCACAAAAGTAAAATTTTTTAAGTTTACCTATTAATACATTATACATCATACTATCATATTTACCAATAAGAGATATTTATAAGAGAATAGCTAGACTGAATAAATAGGCGAATTGTATAGTCAATCAAGAAGGTTTCAAACAATCATTATAAAGATTGTATTTTGGTAATTCAAATAAAAATATACATCTATCTTAAGCTAATTAGATAGAATTACCATTTTTTGGATTTGAAACAGATGGACGTATGAATTGAATCAATTATTTTAGATTGTCCAAATCCTGAATAATGGATTGATATACTATTTATGAAAACATCTAATAGTTAAATCAAACTATAAAATTGTAATTATATTAAGGGATGTCTTTCAAAAAAGAATAAAGAATTTAAAAAAAAAGTGAAAGAATTTCTTGGTCTTATAAAAAAGTATTTACCACCAAATACATATGAAAAGTAAAGATTTTATGAAGTTCAAGTGGCTTAAATTTATGAAATAAGTCATCAATTAAGTCAGAAAGTGTTAAATATTGTAAATTAAGAAGAGAAGCAATATGCTACTGATATAATGAGTTTTTTTTGGAATAGAATACGTTTAAATTAGTAATTAATATAAAGACGTGAACTTTAATAACCATTATAATCAGATTATTAAGGCATAATTAAAGTTATAAGAATAGGAATTGAAAAAGGATATACAAAAATGTCAAAAGTAATTCTTATTAGTACAAATAATGAGAAAGACATTTCTAACAAAGTTGTATTAAGAACTAATATGTCTGAATACAAGTTGATTGCAAAGTAATATTCAATAAAGGAATAATATAAATTCGGTTATTGCATATTTAAATAAAATTAAGGAGTTCTTGCTTTAATAGATTTAAAAGAGGAAACTCAAATAGAATTGAAGTTCTATAATCATGAAACTTAAATAGTTTCTGAGATCCAAGTGTTTATTTTAGATTTCAAATAATCAAATGAAGGATAAATAGGATAGGCATTTTAATACATAACTGCTTCTGGATATCTATTAGTAAAATGAATCTAAATTTACTAATTAATAAAGTTTAATAAATTCATCAAAATTAATTTTAATAAATATATAATAAAGTTATGAATGAGTTTAATTAAATGTTTCAATAGGCAGTGGCAATAAAATCTCATGAAATGCATTCAAAAAGAAAAGTATTTGAAAAATAGCCTTTGTTTATAAAGGCAGGTTTATATTATTTGAATGAATATATTGAATAGAGAAAATTAGATATAGAGTAAAGACTTAATTTTGCAACTGAATTAAAGGAGAATGGAAATAAATTATTTTAATAAGGTATAAAAATAAATGTATTTACTTTTAAAGGTAAATTTGGAAATGCATCTCATGAATATGAGAAATCATTAAGTATATTTCTTTATATTGAGAATAAAAATGGTAATTGGAAAAATGAAGGAATAGTAGATGATGATTTAACATATAGGGATGATAATAGTGATTGGAGAATAATGGATATAAGAATAAAATTGTTGTTGAATTTATCAATTTGTTATATAAAAGAGAAATAATTTAAGGATGCAATAGCAGCATGTGATTATGTATTGAATATATAGGATAATGCAAAGGCATATTATAGAAGGGCAAAAGTATGAATATTTAAAAAGTTAGGCTAGATTGGATAATATAAATGCAGAAGAGAGTGATTATAAATAAGCAATAGAAGATTTAGAGAAAGCATTATAAATTGATGATGATGAGGCAATACGAAAGGATTTAACTAAAGCTAAATTAGAATTGAAAAAGATGATGAGATCAAGTATTGAAATATCATAAAATGTAATGAAAAATATTGAAAAAACATCTTTTAAAGAAATAGAATAATCATAAAAATAATAAGAAATAGTTGATGAAGATTCATCATCAGAGGAAGAAGAATGTGAATATAGTGAAGATTGGAAAAAATATTCATTTAATACACTTTCATATGAACCAAGTTTTGAAGAAGACACAAGTATTTAAGTAGCAGAGGAAATCAATGAACTTGGGAAATTTATTGAAAGTAGAGGAGTATAGATTTTACATTTATATGAAACTCAAGGAAAACATGAAGAAGCTGAAAAGCATCGTCAATTTTTAGCTTAATTGATGGCAGCTAAAATGAAAATTGAAAGAATAAGTAAATCTAATTTTAGTAAACCAATAATAAATGAAAAAGCAACATAATTTGGTATTGATCTAAGTGATCCTATTGTTTAAGAAGAATTTTAACAATTATTCTAATAAAATATGAGAGATCTTAGAAAATGGTTAAAAGAATAGAATTGGAAAATGAGAAAGTCTAAGATTATAAAAAAGGTCAATAAATTAGCTAAAAAAGAGAAGGAAGTTAAAATGGAAGAAGAAACCGGAACAAATTCAAAATATGATTTGTTAGTGTTAGGAATTTGTGCTTTCATTTTATTGTTAAGTTTATATTATTATATATTTGATTGAACAACTATTTAAATACATATCTTATAAATAATAATAAATGATAAATATATATATAATCAATCTTCTTGCACAAATTCTTTAGTTCACTTTTCAAATTCTCCTAATTAATCTTAAGAGACAGATTTTTTAGATTTTTTTAAACCAATAAGAAATCATTGTAGCAAACATCAGGTATAGCAATATCTCCTTAATTAAGTTCCATAAAAGTATCATTTATTATTGCTTCAGATAAAGCATTTGATAACTCACTCTTTTAATCTTTTTCTACCTATTTTCTAATTTACTAAAACTATATTACTTTTATTGTTATTCATTACTACCATCATTCCCACTAGATTCTTATATAACTTCACCTTTTTCATATTTCTCTAATGTCTCCAATCTTTTTACTGTTTCCTGCTTTCTTTAATCATATTGAAACTACAGTTACTTTTCCTCTCTAAATCATATGCTCCTTATAACCATCTACTTTTTTTTATCTGTTGTAGCATTGTAATTTGACTTGATATAAAATAAAGATGTAATAATATTAGAAGTTCATTCTTTGATTTTTCTGTTCTATCAAATCTATCATTTACTTTTCAAAGTCTTTTGAATGATATTAATCAAGATTTGATTAATATATCTTTTGGATTCATTCTGCCTCAAAAATAATTTTGAGAATAAGAATCTTTACTGATGATAAAATCTAATATCTCGTCTTTTTTTTTTAAAAGAAATAAGATACAGATAAAATAAAAAATTTGAACTCAAAAGAATAACTAAATTTCTATCTTATTCTCTTTCTAAAAGATTTATAATTTCAAGAAAATATTTCAATTGATTATTATTCCTAATAAAAGCCATATAAAGTACTAGATTCTCACATATGTTTGAATGAGAAAGATGTAATAATTAGACGTATTGAATAAATTGAAATTACAGTTAATTTGAGAGGAAACATTTATTTCATAAATAAGATAGAATCCGTTCAAAATTAGAAAAATTCAAATTATATTATTCTTTCATAATGAAAGTAATTAAATTTGAAATACAAGAATAACAGATATATTCTTTTAAATTAAATATCTAATGAAAGAATTCGTTCAGTAGTATAAGATAGGTGAAAAAAAAGTAAAGAAAATTTTTTTTGACACGATAAAATTATGTATTTAAAAAAAATGTTGCAACAAAAAACGAATGAGAAAGGATGGTCTTTTAATCTCAGAATAATATATAATGTATATATTTATTTTTATGAATTAATATAAATTTTTTTTCGAGTTTTCGATATTTTAAATAAGCAAAAAAAATCAAAGTTGCTCAAATTCTTCAAATGAGTAATCATCCTTATTGTAGTATAAAGATTCTTTTTATAAGTCATCTTACTCTAATTTCATTATTACACTATTAAAATTTCTTTTTGGGTCTTCAGTTAGATTACTTTTAATCTTAATCTAACCTAAAGTTTCTTTCTCATCATCATTTAAACCTTTTTACATCTTTGTCTTTTTTTAAATTACTTGTATTTCTATTATTAATTAATACAAATAATGGAAATAATTTAAGAATGGTAACAGCGGGGATTTGATATGTACAAATTTCTTGAAGAGATTAATTAGTAAGATCGAAAGGAGAAAAAAAATTTATAAAGCGTTTTTCTAAGCAAAAAATACAATAAATTTACAAAAAATATATATTAAACTAAATATAAGAGGTAGAAACGATCTCATAAAGTATAGAATATATATTTTAATAAATATAAAATGAATAAGAATTTACAACTTAAGTTAAGAAGATCTATCAGTCATTTAGATATAATTGAGGAAACAACTAAAAATTTAGAGAACAATAATTTAAAATATGCAATTCAAATTTCAACAGATGATTTAAATTGAGTAAATTGATAAATAATTTCGATAACCTAATTAAAAAATGATTAGATAAATAAATTCTGGTTGAATTGAAGTATCTTTGGAATAGTATAATATCAAGTTTCATAATTTTAACTTGTATTATGAAAATTCTAATTTTTAAGGTCTTCTCAATTCAAGTTATTAAAATAAAATAATCAAATCAATGAATTTATCAATGAAGCTTTTAACCTGAATTATTATAATGCTTACTTAAATTTTAAGAGGTTGGAAGAATTACAAAAAGATCAAAGAGAAATAAAAAAGGTAATTAGATTTTTATTAATTAACAAATATGTTTGATATTCAAAAATATTGAATCAATGATTGATACTATGTAAAAATAAAAAAACACTATGATATAAAGATTCATATTTTAGAAGATAGTATTACTAGAGAAGATAAAAATAGAAAGAAGGGATGGAATTTTTTAAGTTTTTTAATAAGTTGGTTTTTTGAAAGAGTCCATATAATTAACAATGAAATGATAAAATTATTTTTTTAGTTAATATTTTGCTTTTATATTAATGATAATATTTATTTTGAAGAGAATAATTAATTCATGAAAAATATTAGTTAATATTCAAGAATGAAATTGGATAATTTGAGTATTATTTTATATTTTATATAAAAATGCATGTTGGATTATCAAATAAATTTTAAATCTAAGGTTCAAAACGTAAGATTGTTAGTTTGCAATTCAGTGATAAGACAGTAGAAGATTATTCAAAAGCAATGTCTGTAGGAAACCCATCTGATTTGAGCAGTAATGATAAATTTAAGCCCAGCTTCACCATTTGCTTAATTATATAGTCCTACAGGGAAAAAATAAATGTTTTAGAGAGTGGATCGTTTTAGTGTTTTGTAACCGATAAGAAAAGAAGAGGATAAATTAACTGATAAAGATATTATGAGATAATTATAAGAATCACCAGAGTAAAAAATGGAAGATTAGATTCCAAAACCTTTAGTAGGGTCTTAATCTGCACGAAGTTACTTTTAACATTATAAAGTACTTAATAAAGTGAGATAACAGAATGAATATCATAAAATAAATGATTCAATATAAACTTAGATGCTTAAATAAGCAGAATCATTAGATGTTTTACCTTGTAAATTAGGTCTCATAAAATTAAATGGTAATGAATCATAAATATCAATTAATAATCATCATTATGGTGATAAATATATAAGTGTATTATCTGAAGGATTACGTTAGAATTAAGGAGTAAAAGAATTCTTATTGAGCAATAATCGAATAAAATAAGATGGTGCTGTTACAATATTGAGTTAAATCGGAAAATAAGCAACAGTTGTAGATTTATCTAAAAATGATATTGGATAAATGGGTGTCGATTGTTTATGTCAATAATTGCAGATGAGAGAGAATAAGTATTTTATTCAATCTATATAAAGGATGGAAGTTATTAATATAGAAGATAATAAATTAGGAGATAAGTTTGTTATTAAAATTTTAAAGTGCTTATTAAATACTTAAAATAAAGTTAAAGTTTTAAATGTTTCTAAGAACTTTCTTACAAATGAGATATGTGATTAAATGAAGGAGATTATTTTATAATTGGATCTTTTGGAAGAGTTATATATTCATTGGGTAAATGAATAAATATATATTTAGAATTAAATTAAAGGATCTGGAGGACAAAAGATCTTTGAAGCATTAGTTGAGAATAAAAATATGATTGTATTTGATGGAAGTTGGAATAGTTTTGGAATTAGTGAGAAATCTAATTGTACTTAAAAGGTTTGTGACTTTTTAAGTCAAAATAAAGTTATGTTACATTGTGATTTATCAGCTAATTAATTTACTTTATAAGATTGTAAATTAATTGCTAATAGTTTGAAACCTAATAGAACTATGTATGGATTTCATTTTGCAGGTAATTGGGGTGTTGTAGATCCAAGAGGATTTTTAATAATCGATGATAATGCTTAATAGAAGGTTTTAGGAGAAACGTTAAGGATTAAAGGATTAGAATAAGTAACTACATTAAGACATGAAGATGTTTGTTGGATTTGTGAAGGATGGTAAGAATAAGTTTTTGATTATGTTCCAGATGGAGAATGTGATCCATTATTTTTACATATGAATTTTGAAGAATATAAATAAGTATACATTCCAAAAAGAAATGATGGCACTTATAAATTACCTTTAATGATTCCTACAGGATAAACTGAATTCTTATTTACAGTTATTGATAATTAAACAACTAGTTCAAATTATTAAAATATCAAATTTGGACATGTTATTAAAATTAAAGTTAATGGAATTCATGTAAGTTGTTAATTGGATAATATAAATTTTGTTAAAAAATAAAAACATTTTTAATTGATGGATAAAAAAGAAATGAAAGCACTTACTTCAGTACTTCCAAGAACTCCAGATCCTATCTATATTCCACCAAAATTAAAAAAATAAAAAAGAATTTGGTCATTTCCTATTTCTATTTGGTTTAAAGATTTTAGATTTGAAAATGAAGAATTTTTACGTAAATGTTTTGAAAAAGATTGGAGTTGTAGTAAAATTTCAAAAGTTGTTAAAAATCCAGATGAATTTAATGAAGTTAAAAATTTATTATGGAAAGATTATAAAATGATAAAAGAAACATATAAATGGTATTCATCTTATAATCCAACTGGTGATGTTTGGTCAATTTCATCAAATGTAATTACAGAATTTTCATCTGCAACTGAATTAGTTGATAATAAAACATTTAAATTATCTGATTTAGATCTTAAATTTATAGCAACTTGTGCTGCTTCAATTGAATATAAAGGAAATTATAGAAATCCAGAAAGAGCATTATGTAGATATTAATTCATGGAATTTATAGTAAGAGTAGCTGATGATAAATATTTAAAATAAAAATAAGCAAATAATATGGTTGAATCTGTATAAATGATTTTAGATTAATGTAGATCTATTATGTAATAATATAATGCATAAAAATGGAGAGATGAAAGATATTTTAATGAACAATGTGATGATTGTTTAAAATATTACAAAACTTTGTTGAATTAGATTTATCATAGATACAGTGTAAAGAAAGTAAAACCAGGATAAAAGAAATTTATGTGTCTCGATGAATTACATGAAATCTGTGGATAAGCAGGATTATTTGATGAAAAGTTTGTAGATAGAGATGCAGATTTAGTATTTCAATTCATATATGATAGGCATTTAATTTATCAATGATGTTGTAAATAGATGAATTAGAAAGTGATAGAATCTTCTAAATGACTTAAGTAGAATTTATGGAAGCATTAGCAAGAATAGCTGAAAAAGTATCATTACCAGCTGCACCAGATATGAGTTGGGAATAACGTTAATAATAACCTTTACATATTAAATTAGAAAGATTCCTCATTTTATTAGCATAAACGTGTGCATCTGAAGAATTAAAATAACAATTTGGAAATCCATAAAAAAGTATATTTGATGTTCAACCTGAAGATGATTGATTAAGCATTCATTATAATTAAATATGTAAATATCAATATTTTAAAAATTAATTTGGATTTTCAAATGATAAGTAATTCAAAATGTTATGAATATGAATCATATATCATAATTGTTTACTTAAAGTACTAATGTACCATATATCTTTTGGATTATCTATAATGCAACCATCTAAAATCTATTCAACAGCTCCATAAGATTTAATATTAAAAGCAGGAAAATCTCTACCCTTATAATCCTCAATTGTCCAATTTTTTTCTATTCTTTATCCCAAAAATAATGAATAAATGCATAATCCAAGAGACCATACATCTCCTTAAAAAGTTGGACATTAGTCATCCCTATATGAATACAAATATGTCATATCAGCAGATTGTCTTTCTGCTCCTAATTGATCAAGATCTAATAAAATTACTTAATATTATTAAGTAACCATAAAATTAGAAGGTTTTATATCACCATGAACTAATTATTGGGAATGCAGCATCCTTAATGCATCAATCATTTATTGCATCATTTTTATTTTCTCTCTCGTTTAAATATTCTTATTTTGAAATTTATCTAAAGTTATCCCATCAATATAATCAGTTACATATTTACATACATTATTTTAAATTACTGCAGCCCTTAAATTTAATAAATTTGGATGCTTTTTTTGACTCAATTGTATCCAATATTCTAATCTTTATTATGCTTTTTAAAGATCTTTTACTTAATCTTCTTTTATTACATAATTTTTAATCCTTTTGACTCTAATCTCTCTAACAATTTCATACTCTTCATTATAAACAGGTCGATAATATAATTATTAAGCTGGTTATGTTTATAATTCATAAAATAGCTTAAAATTATTATATTCCTCACTCAAAACAGGAGTTATTTCATTATTTTCTGGTTTCATTTTAATAATAGCTTAAATAAGTATTTGATATGTTTTATGTGCTCCTACCATCATAGTTTTTAACTATGTACAAGTATATTTATTTAATTATAATATTAGCTCTGTGACATATAATAAACTATTCTATGTAATATTTAAAATATTTTACGTTTCTTAGCTGATTGATTACAACCTTTACATGAGTTCATTTCTAACAAAATTAACTTTATAAACTCTATCTGTAATTTTGGAGGTAAGATTATGTTCAGATTCATCAGAATGAACATTCTCTTCAGTGATTATCATATTAACTTCACTTTTTAGATTTGTTTGTTAACATTATCCATTGCCCATTTACTTAATAATTAATTTAATTATTATTTTTAGATATAGATAAATGTCACTTAAAATTTTCAGCATACCATTTTTTAGTGAAATCATCACAATCTAGTAATTAAAATTTCCATCCATTAATCATAATTTCATTTCCTACAATTAAATCTTTAGGTGAGAAAAACTCATTATTATTATAAGAGTTTTTGTATTTTCTTTTTTCCAAAAATTTACCATCTGGAATACCTTAAAATAAATTAGAATTGGAAATACCTGAATTTCTAACAGTTGGTTCATAAATTAAAAGACTATCATCATTTAAAAAGTAAGTAATTACAAAAACTCTAAAAATAAATTAAAATATGATGACCTATCTTTATCCTCAGGTTTTGTAGTGTTAAACATTGCTAAAAATCTCAAATTTACTTGATTATCAACCCATTTAAAGAAATCTTTTTTAGGTGGTTTTGGTTACAATCTATAGATATAACCTAAAGAATCCTATTCATCACCAATACCATTATGAGGAGGAATAATAATGTCTAATATAATAGAATAAAGAATATACTTGATCTTTATTCCATTAATTATTCTTCTTAGCCACCTAAGGGAAAGTCTACATTAAACTTTTCATAATAATAATTTCTTGTAAAAGGATCGCAACCTTATATGGCAAATTTTCTATTGTAAATAATTAATGGTTATCCAAATTAGATGTCCTATGGTCGAATGAAATCTTCAGCATAAGTTTATCCAGGTTGATTTAGAGAGAATTTACGTGGTAATTTTTATCTTCTTAACATCATTGGAAATGGAACTCTACCTGAGTTAGCAGAATTTATTTCTTTTATTTCAATAGTATCATCTGCTAGATAATAATGTAAGACGTATTCAATATCAGAAAACACATAGAATTTTAATACCTTAAGTAGAAAAATATGCTAATTACTTTTCTATCATTTTCGAGGAATTGTTTTTATGATGTAACTTTTCCTCCTCCTAATTTATGTTCCAAATAGTCTTTCATTACAGTATCTTTCTAAGGAATGTACTTGGTCATAGTTTTGGTTTCAAAGAAATCTGGTTAAGGAGTAAATGATTGATCTTGTGGTTATTGAATACCCTAAATATAAAAATGAACTGATTTAATGAAACCTCATAAAATTCTCTTGTATATTGATCACAATCATATAGTCTGATTGTTTTTCCGAATATTTAAATGTCTTGATTAATTCTAAAATCCTCTGGTATAATGAATGTTTTTGATCCATCTGCTCTTAAAACCTTAAGAATAAATAGAAAGATAGTTTTACTTTTTATCTTTTAAGGAATGCTCCTTATGGTACACCACTATTTTCTTACTTAGGTTCTGTAATACTAATTGAATGGTCTTCTAAATAGTAAAATATTGTTAATTTTCTAATTCTGTAATTTTCTAAGGCTGATTCAACAACAGCTTCTTTAAAGTATCCACTAAATCTTAGTACATGTCTATCCATCTTAACCCAAGTTGGTTAATAAAGCTCTTCAGAATCATTAGTTGTATTCTTATAATGTAACTGATTAAAAAGAATACCTTAGGTAAATGCATAGCATGAGTTGTGCTTAAATAATCAGGGTTAAACATTCCTGTTTATGATGGGACTTATATTGGTTATTTACGAGGGACAGGATATTCTTAATTTGGCAGTTGTTTCTATAAAAATGTAAGAATTTCAATTAATTACAATTTCTCTATTTTAGTCTTGTTTATTAGATGAGACTTTTCTGAAATTTGGTTTCTTAGATAGATAAATGATTGTATTACATCTAATTCTTAAGTGGGTACAAAACCAGGTAATTTAGGAAAAGCTGAAGCCATTTTAATTAATTAAATTAAGATATGTAGCATCCCCCGTATTAAAGAAAGCCACAAAAGAAAATCACACAACCATTGCATGCATTCTTCACTTTATTTACAGAGAAAACTTAATTAGAGATTTGGTTAGTGGAAAATGACAATCTTCGAATATAAGGAAAATTGGCCGTAATTTAGTTGTGCTTCTACCTTTTTAGGGTTTTGATGAATATTTGAATTTAGTGTTAGACAGAGCTGTAGAATATGATCGTAAGACAAAAGCAACTAAGGAATTGGGTAAGATTCTTTTGAAAGGAGAAAACATTGTTCTTGTTAGAACTTTAGAGTATTTATATAGATATAATATATTTAGGGATGTTAAATTATGAGTTAATGCTTTTCATATTATATATATATTAAATTTAAAAATGAATGAAACACAAGACAGTGACACAAACTTTGAAGTGGCCTGCTCTTAATGTTAAACAACTCCTGACAATTATGTCAAATTAGATTGTGATCATAAGTTTTGTCTCGTTTGTTTAGCCTATAATTATCTACAATCTCAATAATTGAACCCTGAATCATAGGATATTGTAAAAGTTGCTATCTGTTCTAAATGTTAATATGAAACTCATCTTGATCCAGATACTATTGAAGCTATTTAATATGTGATTAAGGAAATTATCATTCCACTTATTGAGTAAAATTAAGAGGAACACATTGTTGACAATGATTTCGATCTTAAATAATCAGAAACTATTAGAGAATCTAAAACTAACTTTGCTGTTGATTTAAATAATGAATAGTAGAATCTTAAATTTGAATTAAAGGATAAATATACAAACAATTTATAATTTCAAAAAGTTGACTCAAACAAAGAAGTCTCTGATTTTAAAGAAATTAAAAAAAATAAAGAATCCATCTCAAATAAAAATGATATGACTACTGCTTTGAATGAAAGAGTACAACTTTATTTAGAAAGATTGGATAAAAGTTTTAAAAATAAGTTTGAATCTATTAGAGATATTTAAGATTAGAAATTCCAATTCCAATAAAAATGCTAATCTACTAGGGATGAAATCACATAAGAATATTAAAAAGTAATTTCATATGTTATTATAATCATTAGTAAATTATTGCTTTAGAATAAAAAAAAAATAGTCTTATTAATGATGTTAATGTACTTGAAACATAATAATTACTAGAAATTCAAAAATAAGAGAATGAATATGTAATATATACTTTTATTTTAAAAAGGAATCATAAATCTAATTAATGGCTAAATATTAAGAAGAATTAAAGAATTTAAAAGCCTTTCCTGAAGATCTGAGCAAATTCTTAATTGAAATTGAAAAAATTATGACTGCCCCATCTCAATCTCTGTAAATAGTAAAATATGTTTGCATGAATAGAAATCATCACTTTTGTCATCCCAAAGATAGCTTATTCGAATTTAATCTCTTACATAACAGACAGAAGAGAGATTAACATCAGATTCCAAAATGATTACATTTTAATAGAAATTTAGTCCTGTTAAAAATGATAGAACCAATGAAATTTGGAATAAATTGAATGAAAGTGAAAAAAAAAGTAGACTTAAAGAAAGCTCAATCTCGTAATAAAAATCTAATCAAAAAAGTAGATGGAAAGAAACTATCCTAGAAATCTTTGATAAAAAAGATTAAAGCATTGAAAGATTTTCTAATAATAAATACAATTAATCAAATAGAACATACAATATTCATTAAGTTTTGAACATGCAACAATAGAGTTTTTAAATTTAAAAAGAAAATTTATTAAAAAGGTGATATCTATTTTGATATATCAATCTATTTCTAAATAAATCAAAATTAATATATTTAAATCAAACAGAATAAAGTTTTTAATTAAGAAATAGAAAAAAATTATTCTAAATCTTCATTTTCTGTTTCCAAATTTTCACTAATCATCATCAAAAGTAACAGTGCAATCAAACAAATTAATATTTACTTTGATTTTTAAGTTTTTAGTTTATCAAAATAGAAACACAATTAAAAAAAGTTCAACCATATGTTCCTAATTAATTAGTACTTTGATAAATTATTTTAGATTCACAAGTGAAATTGAATATTGCTTTAACTAAAACGCATATATTTCATAAGTATAATTATATTGATATTCAGTTAGATATGGGTCTTTAGATGATGAACATAGATTTATTAATAACATAAACAAAGAATTGTATTTTTAAGCTATTCTAATTTCATTCCAAGAATTTAAATTTATTTAAATGATATATTAAATTAAGGGAATGTATCTTCACATTTACTAAACTAACAGATTATTTTAAAGATTAATTAATTCAATGATTTTACATCTTAATTTTAGAAATTTATGATAGGTTTATGTAATTTTTAGTTGATTATCACTAAGTAAATTTTCAGATAAAATTGTAGTTTTAATGAAAGTAAAATGAATATTGATTAAGAATTTTATTTGCTTTAAATTCTTTAAATTCTTTTTGTTTCAAGGATAATAATCAGAGTCATATATTTGTTAAAATAGAAGAATTCTTTCTTTATGGAATTTAAAATAAGTTATTTTGAAGTTTTAAGAGATGTGCCTATTGATCTAAATCGAATCTGTTTTTTGGTTAGTATTATAAACAACTCAAATAGGTCAATCTTTTATTATAAAGTAAAATAATTTAATTAATTAGAAGTCTCCTTACTTTCATAATGGGAGTTTGCCATTCTAAAAAATCATAATTAAAAACTAATTTACAACAAGACCTTACTATGAGTAACTAATAATCTCTACTTCCAATAAATATCTAAATAGACGATAATAAGATATTAGAAAAATCACAATAACACGATTCATAACAAAGTGAAGTCGATTTATTAGCAACGGATGAACTTTTAAATAACTAATAATAAGCAGCAATAGACTAATTACACAGAGATCAAGTTAGGAGACATGTCTAAACTTAACTACACTAATAGGACAATTTAAAACGATATTTAGTTGTCTTTGATAAATTATACAATCAATAACGAAAAGTTCCAATTTTATTTTCTCTTTAAGAAAGTACTCTCTTAAAGAGGAGAAGATCAGGTCCTTGCTGTTGATTTTGAATAATTTGTTTATGTTTTTAGTTAAATATAAATGAATTTAGTTTTTCTCTCTTTTTTATTAGATGAATTGAATTCCTGGATGAAATCAAATTCTCATATTAAATGTAAAATTTTTTGTTAAGAATATGTATAATCATATAATTCTAAAGAATGAGGCGGTTTGATATAGAGAAATATAATTGGTGGTTATGAAGAAAAAACATTAATTAATTAGAATGTTTGAATCACCGAGGTTGAAAGATTTAAATTTTATTGTTCATATATAATTAATTATTCGAAAATTAATTAGAAAAAAAGACTTATTTATTTATTTATTATTATAATATAGAGGATCAATCAATTTCTTATCTTAATTTAATCTATTATAACCTAGAATTGCCAAGAATTTGACTTTTGGCTGTATGATATTTGAATACAGGTTTTGTTTTAATTAATTTAAAATCAGGCTAAAAATGAAACTGACCATATGCAGATGAATGTTGAGAATATTATTTATCTGTAGGAATTTTAAGTGAAAATATGTCAGAATCTTAAGTATAACGTTTAGCATATTTTCCAAATTTTTACTCAGATTCTAAAATCAATAAAATAGTAAACCTACAGTCATTTATGGAGAAACAACAAAACATTCATTATTTAACTGATTTTTACGCTTATAAATTTATGGTAATTGGTAACTATTACGAACATGAATATCCATATCTTATTAATTTGTATAATTAATTTTTTGAAAATTGAAATCATTCATCTTATGAATTGGAGATTGTTCCCAACAAAATTTTATTTTATCTGTTGAATGCTCTTAATAATACAGAACATAAAACCTCTAAAGATTCTTTTTTAAAATTTAGATTCTTCTCCATCAAACATAACTATTTAAGGAGGACCAAAGATTTTATGCATAGAACTATGACGACTTTTATTCATATTGTATAAATAAAATATATAAATTTAATTATTAATTATAAATCTTCAAAATTTTATGCAGTTTCTTTTTTTTGCATTTATTATTATTATTTATAATTTTTCTTTGTTTCTACAGCCAATTGAGTCAATTTTCTCTTTTAGCTCCTTCTAATTACATTTATTTTTATTATTTTTGTAAATTCATTCTTCACCTTGATAAAATTATTTGAATCATAATTCCTGATCTTATTTCCATCTATCATTTTCTACTATTGTATTCATGAAATTTTACTTTTTTTATTTATTTCTAAAATTCTAATAATTCTAAAATATTTACAATTTCAGACTTTTTTAATTCTTATATAGATAGCCTAAAGTTATTGTACTTTTCTATTTATTCATAATTTTATTTCTCATCTTTAAATTTTTTTCTTAGTATTAAGTTCTTTTCATAATTATCCTTCACTTCATCATTCAATTCATAAATTGAATTTGACTAATCTATAATATTTTACTCAGAATCATAGATGAATTGCATATGTGAAACTTTATTTGCACTTAATTTAATAATAGCATAGTTTTTATGAACAAATTTTCAATGCTCCTATTACATAATTATAGTCACCATTTTACAGGTTTAGACTTACAAACTATAATATTTTTATAAGAAGGAATGCTTAAAAAATTTTAATATTGTTATTCAATGAAATTCATGAACTATTATATTAAAACTTAACTTTTACCTTGATTCTTTGAAGTATTAATATAGTATTACCACACTTTAAACATTTAACAGGAAATAAATGTTCAAATCTGATCTTAGGAACACTTATATATGTAATTTTAATCTAATCTTAATGACTTTCCTTTTAGTTTCATTTTTCTTTAGTGTTCAAAGCTTCCCTATATGATAGTAATGAAGTATTAATCTATTAAAATTAAGCAAAAATTATCTGCTCATGTGGCTACTATTTGTACTGTCATTATTAATTAAAAAATTATTATTTAATATCATGAATACATTAAGATCATTAATCATAATATCTTTCCTTTTTACACTTATTCCAATATCATAAGGAGCAATTTTAAGTTGCAAATATGGTTACCAAAGTTATAGACTTTGATGAAAAGAAACTTTATAAATATATTAAATAAAAAATCCAAGAGGATATTTATGCTTTGATACTCATTTACGTTCAGGTATTAAGCTTTTAGATCTTGACCCAATAAATGCGTTAAATCATTGTTTATTTAAATTCCAATTCATAAAACATGGCTATTATACTATACAAGTACTTAATACAGACTTTTATATCTGTACAAACTAAAAAAATCGGAATGAAAATGCTGTGACTTCTTTTTATTCACCATCAATCGATACATTTATGCAATTTAAGTTCATACTATGGTATGAAGTTTTAGTTAGACATACATCTAAAGTTTGGCATTTTACAACATCGAGTCCTTATATAATGCAAACTTCAGAGAGAACACAGGGAACAAACTAATTGTTTAGAGTAGAAGAATATAATGATTGATAATAAAATAGATTGTTATCCTTTTGTTTAATATTTTTATAATATTAATAATTAATTATTATATAAATGTAACCTTAACCTATATAGAGAAAAGACTCTATGGTTCCTTAAGGTACTTCAATGTCTATTTGTTCTTCATTATTGTTCATGATAGGTTAATCATGGTATGAAATGAAAAGAAGACCTTGTGGATATTGTGTATCATTTTTTAGTGTTTTGATTGTTGTTGCTGCAAGCGCTGTTAGTTAATCTATAATTGATAGAGCACCTCTTATATTTTTAAAATCAGCAGAAGGTCCAGCAAGTCAATCTGATATTGCGTAATTAACAATTTAAGATTAGGTTGTCTGCAAATCCGAATTATTTAAGTGAAGAACATGATAAATCTCCTCAATATTTGATGTCTATTTATAGTAATACAGCAAGACAATAAGGATATCTTATAGTTGACTTCCTAAACTTTACTAGAATTAATGAAGTATTAGGACCAGAAAGAGCAAGTTAAACAAGTCCGAGAATTCAATAGTAAGTGAATTTTACGAACTTATAAAAGACAGGGGATTGTGAGAATGTATATATTCATTATATATGAAATAGGCAGTGAGTAAAGCATAATAATTGTTATCTAAAAGATAGGAATTCGGAAGTGAAGCTCATTTAAATGATTTAAGAGATGGGTAATAATTAGGTTAGAAATGTGGAGGATAATAACCACATCCAACAGCTAAATTTGTAGGAATAGATACATTGAAAGAAAAAGCAATAGGATTAGGTTGGGAATATCCATTTGATGAATTGAAAGAAACTGAAGTAATAATGAGTAGGAAATTAGCAGAGACATATAGATTAAATGTAGGAGATTATATGTTAATTTATGGCGAATTCTATGATTTTTATGGGTCATATTATATCTCGAACTACTTTGAATAAATAGGTAGACAATTTAATTTAACTAATTATAATGACACCTTTTTGAATGAAGAATTTTTAGAAATGAAAAAAGCGACTTAAAGATTTTATTTATATTAGATAAAAGGCTTATTAGAATCAACATATGGTAAATTCCCAGATGGTGATGCTGATAAATTGATAATAGTTGAGCATAAACACTTTTTTAATAATTTAGCATATTGGTCATGGAATAAACCTTTTTTAAAAGCAATGTATACTGCTAATCCTGAGGATTATGTAGACGAAATTAGAATAAACATTCCTAATAGATTCAATATATACATGGATAGCAATTATGAAAATATATAAGGATAGATAACAAAATATGCAAGTAATATAAGGAGAGATTTGGGTGTTTATCCATGTAATATGGAATTACCAGTATTATAACAATTATATGATACTAGATTTGGTTAATTATTTTTGGGTATCATATTAAATATGATAATTGTAATATTGTTTTTATTAAGTATCCTACTGTTATATACATTATTATTGATTTCAGTAGAGACCAAGACTTATGATTTAGGTGTGTTAAGAGTTTTAGGATTTAATAAATTAGGAGTTGTATTTTTAGTATTGACTTAAGCATTGAGTTATGTATTACCTGCGATAGTAGCAGGGATTATACTTTCGATTCCCTTTTTATTATATGCTAGTAGTGCACTTAAGGCTTCAATAGGAGTTGAAATAGAAGCAAGCCCAACTACAAATGCAATATTTATGTCATTAGGATTAGGATTACTAATTCCTTTGATTAGTTCTTATGTACCAATAAAAGAAGCATTAAGTAAATAATTAAGTTTTGCATTGGATATAAATAGATCAAAATCAACTGCTGTAAAAATAGAGGTGGATTTAGAAGGTAAATCATTACCTTGGGGTAGAATCTAATTTGCAGTAATAGCATCTTTATTTGGTATTTGTGTTTATTATTTTTTACCATTGGCTTTGTTATCATTCAATATTGGATTACTATTATCAATATTCTTTTTTATATTATGTGGTATGCTTTTAGGATTAGTAATTTTCGCATTTAATGTTCAATATTTAGCAGAACGATTCACTGTAAAATTATTTTTATTTTGGGCAAGTTCAGCTAAGAAAACAATGGTATTAAAGAATCTTGCTGCACATAGAGTAATTAAAATATAATAATAATAAAATAGATAAAAAATAGAAGAACAGCATTGATGTATGCATTATCTATAGCTTTTGTAATATTTATTTTTGTTGGTATGAGTGTATAGATCGAAAATCAAGCAACTTAAACTCTTTAATAGCATGGTTGTAAACTTGAAATAACAGCATAAAATGGTTATTTGAAGGCATTTGAGTTTGAGAAGATAATTGTAGATTTAGGAGATAATATAAAAGGTTTTGCTTGGATAACAGATTCTTTAGATAGTTATATGTAAAAATTAGGATTTTAAACTGCTTATATGACTCATTTAGGTTAAGTTTATTAACTTCGACCTAAAATTGTAGGTGTATCACATACTTTATTTGATATGGGATATAATTAATTTTTATAAATAGAAGATTAAATAAACAGTTAATTAAATCCAGTTGAATAATTATATACTAGTAGAGGTAGTTAAAGTGCTATGATTGGTACTAGTTATGCAGATTAATTAAATATAAAAATAGATATAGATAGTACTTTTCTTATAGTTGTGTATAATAATACATATAGCTAATATCATTAAATGAGAGCATCTTCAATAATTACATCGGCACCTGCACTTAAATTTAGTAGTTTACCTAGTGTTTAAGAATAAAATGTTGTTGTATCTCTACCAACATATAGAAGACTTTGTGGAAATTAAATAGATGCAATTGAAAACTATCCTATGAGAAGATTACTAATTACTATCTCTAATTCAGGTAATCTTGATAATGTTTATGGTCAATTCAAAAAGTATATAGATGCAAATGGAGTCTCTGCTAAAATTTGGGATTATAGAGATTATGAAACATCCATTTAATAAAGTCAATAACTCATTTAAATTATATTTAGTTTCTTAACTGGAGTTGTTATGGTTTTATCATTCTTTAGTTTAATGACATCAATGTCTGCTAACATGTTAGAATAAGTTAAAGAAATATCTGTACTTAGGGCTATTGGTAATACTAAAATATCTATTACTATTGTTTATATCATGGAAGCTTTTACATTAGTTTTTAGTTCTAGTTTTATTGGTTTAATGGTTGGATTTGTTATTGGATAATCTATGGCTTTATAATAGACACTATTTACTTAATTACCATTAATTTTTGTATTCCCCTGGTAAATGTTGATAATCATTATTATAATTGCCATGATAGCTGCCATTATTAGTGTTGTTACACCCTCCTTATAAATCTTATCAAAAGAAATTGCTTAAATTATGAGAATGATCTGAAAATATTCAATATTATTTTTATCATCTTTATATTCAATACTTATCCCATATATTGTATTCCTTATATATATTAATACTTTTTTTAATTTCTAATATTCATCTATAATTTATATTTCTCCTTTATTAACTAATTAATTTATTATCACATTTTCATTATAGATTGTCAATATTAATCTTACAATCATGCTGCTATCGAAATTTCATCCATTTGAAATATTATGAAGCATCAATATTATTTGAAATATTATGAAGAATCAATATCATTATTACAATATTGTAATGGAAATCTAACTACATTTTATTTACTCCTTTTTTAAGAAATTTAAATCATTATTGCTTCATTTATTTATTTCCAAAAGTTTATTAATTAAAAAAAAAATATTTGATGATTTTTCTCATTAATTTAAATAGGAAAATACTATTTAATTACTTAGTAGAGAACTTTATTAAATTAAATTTCCTCTTCTTTAAGTTATCATTTAAAGGAAGTAATTTTAAATTTATAAATAAATATAGATGTATATCATTTGAGTAGGTAACATTTAGATTCTGGTAATATTTCTTCACATATATTTATAGGTTAATTTCTAAAGTGTAATTTTACACATTTTGAGATGATTTCAATATGTCCTAAATTTTATTATGACTTATACTTTCTTTAAATTAAGCTTACATATAGATTTAGACTTCAATTGGATTGGTAACTTCTTCTGATTCAAGTTATAAATTTAGAAAATATAATTATGTTTTTAAGCTTAATTAACAATTAGTAAATTTGACTGGTGAATTCAAAGCCTTCACCGATCCAAATAATATAATATTATGTTAATGATTCTTTCTATTCTTAGTTTTCTACTTTCTATCAAGTAAATAAAACATCATAGTTCTTTTCTCCCAAATATCTTCTAATTGAAATTTACTCTAACTTTTTTCCAATAATTTCAAGTTTTCTGATGTTCTATTCGGTCCCTTCTCCCAAACAATTTCTCTTTCAAAAAGGTTGTCGTACTAACCAATTACATACTTATATTCAAAATATGAGCAAGAGATATCTATTTCCTTAGTCCAATGATCATTCTATTAATATATATGAAATTTAGCAATACCATTTAACATTCCATCCTAATAGCCTTTTTTAAATTCCAATTTGTGAAATCAAACACAATATAAATAGCTTCTCCGTAATTCACTTATTTAATTATTGTGAAAAAGATTTAAGATGCTTTCATTATATTAATAATGCTATTGCTAATTTTTTAATTTATGTCTTTTCTCAAAATTAACTAGAATTTGTAGGAATAATATCTTATAATTTTTATCCACTTTACTCCGTTAAAATTTGATCAATCTCAAAAACTTTTAAATACAAAAAAAAGACAATATATTAATCTAATTCATTTTAGAAATCTATTTTAATTATTTATTGCTCAAGCAATTTTAAACACAATCAATATCAAATCAATGAAAAAACATTTTTTTTTCAATAAATAAATATTTTTATATAATCAACATAGAGCAATTCTATAAAAGGAGATTGCTTGACATATTTCTTAATTTCTTTCCGAAATGCCAAGACTAATTGGAGTACTAATCAATTCTATAGGAGCTTAAATTTTAATAGAAATCTAATACTTGGATTTTTTATAAGCAAATAGTATTGAAATTGAATCACTTAATCCGAATAAGTGATATCAATATAAAATCTAGCAGTAAAATACTTCATAGACTTCTTTTCTCTTAATTTCATTTGAATAGGAGTTGTCAAAGCAGGTAAGTTCCCAAATACAATGGCTAAAGAATTTTTATTTAAAGCCATTAATTTAAGAGAAATCAATCTTTTCTCCCACATATCTTCTATAATATTATTGAATTAGATTTAATACTTATTGTATAAGAACTATTTTATTTAGATTTAATAAAATTTCTGTTGTGCCCTCTTTCCCAAATTTATGTTTCTAATGTTGGATAATCATAATCAGCAATCACATATTTATATTCTAATTACTCATCTCTAACTTCAAATTCAAGTTCCCATCGATTAAACTACATTTATTAACTCAAACTTTACTTTAATACATTTCATTCTACAATTCTTATCTATTTTCCAATTATTTTAAGAATTTGCTAAGTACAAACCTTATCCAAAACACACCTAATGGAGTAAAAAAAACTTTATTTAAGACATTAAATTATTTATAATCAATTTAATCACTCAGATTTAAATCTTTTGTCACCATTTAATCAAAGTTGTTTTTTATTGAATATTTAAAATAATCAATAACTTTATCTCATCCCCCTCTCTCATTTGATTTAATATCATATCATTTCATTATGAATATCAAATCATAATATAATCAATTTATTTTCAAATGAATCCCTTCTCAAATACCATTTAAAAAGTTTCAAAATATTTAGCCCATTTTAAATTTCACATTTTAATTTCTATCATAAAGCATTTTAGATTTATTGTCACAATCTGAAAATTCACTCCATTTATGCAGAATTCTATATTTATTATTGTAATGATCATAATATAAGAATTAATACTAAAGATTTTATTGATTAATTTATTTAATATATTTCTTTATAAATTACTAATTATTGAATAATATAAATTTTAAGAATCAGAAGTAAGAGTTTTTCAAACTTTAATTATTTTCTTTTTCTAATTAAATATAATTTATAATTATAGTTTTTATACTAAGAAATATAATTGTTTCTATTTCTTTATTAAATGTAAATATTAATTAATTTGAAAATTACCTACAAAAATCAGATTAAAAAAAATAATTGCACGTGTTTCTAAAAAATATTTTTATTTATCATTTTTTCAAAATTAATCTTAAAAAGCTTAAACCATTAATTATGATGAGATATTATGATTTTTAATAGAAAACAAAAATGAAAAAGGCTTAGCAGATTAAAAGAAAAATTTTTTAATAAACATTTATTTCTCTATAAATGTTAAGTTTGACTATATAGAACAAATTGGAACAAGAGATAAAGAAACTTTTTTAAATCTCGATTATTTTATGAATGGAGTATATTTTCTTAGTTTAAATTTTTTCATCAATAAATTTTGTTTAATAGATATAATAAAATTAGGTTTAACTATGGGAGAAAATGAAAATTTTACTAATATTAGTACCTGAATTTTTATTTTATTATTGTTAAAATATGCTCAATAATTAATAATAATCTGTTTATATATTTATTAAAAATATATTTGCTTGTAAAGAAATAACATTTTAGACAATTTAACTTATATTACGTTTTTTAGAACTATATTTAAAAATGATTCATTGAAAGCAAATAACAATAAAATTATGGAAGGTTTAGTCTCCCCAACTGATTCTGTTTAAATAAATTGGAAATTTGTAACTAGACTAGAAAAACTAAGGAAGCTTTTTGATAATAATCTACAAAAGAAAAATGAATAAAATATCATAATTTAATAATCCGAAACTGTTATACCTGATTGGGATGAGATTTTAAGTTGCTATAAGGATGTAGAAAGGTCACACAACGAGTTTAATATGACAAACATTGGAAAATGGAAAAAGATGGATAATTAGGAAATAGACCTCCTGAAGATAATTGTAGGATTGTATTGCAACATTCATAATCTTTAGCCTTTATTGATGGTATTAATAAATATTAATGTTTAGGATGTTTATGATTGGGATTAAGTAGGCTCAATATTATTCAATAGACATTGGAAAGTTTGTAGAAGTAAATGGATGGAAAGTTAAGCAACTTCTATAGTAGATCATCCTTGGTCTCGAGAAGAGGATACTATTTTAGCATAGCTTTATGAAAAACATGCATAATAGAATAGATATAATAAATGGAGTTTAATATCTATGGAAATGAGTAAACTTTGCAAATCAAACCATGTAAGATTGGGTAAATAATGCAGAGAAAGATGGATTAATAAATTAAATCCTTTAGTTGAAAAGTATAAAAATTAATTTTATCTTTGTTTAGAGGTCCATGGTACAAAGAAGAAGAGATTAAATTATTAATTGCTGTTCTCAATTTTGGAAAGAAATGGTCATTAATTTCAAGAACAAATTTTAATAATTAAAGAACTGAAAATTGTTTAAAAAATAGATTTCATACAATAATCAAAAGAGAATCATCAAAATTTGAAAAGAATTAAACGCAAAAATAAATTTCATAAGAATAAACATAGGAAGATGAAGAAAAGTTAATAGAGCAAATTATTCAAGAATTAAAAGAAGAATCTTTTCTTCAATAATAGTCCGATATCTGTACTAAGCAAAGGAAAAAAATTACTATTGAATAATTAGATAAGAATTTCAATTTTAATGACAATACTATTCAGATAGCTATAATAAAGAAGAATAAAATTAATGCAGTTTTATGATTTTTACTAATTTATTTTCTTAAAAATTATTTTCTCAATAAGTAAACATAATTTAGACTAAATTATTTTATTTATTCTAATACTCTTTTTTTTATTAAAATAATATATAATAAAATTTAAAAAGAGTATGAAGGATAAATTTCATTTAAAAAAAGCATAGCTTAATGTATTTAATTTAATGAAAAGAATAATAAATAAAAAATATAAATTAAAAAGGGAAGTCACAAAATAAAAGTAAAAATAAGAATAGTAAAAAAAAATTGAAATATGTTTTATTAAAAAAAATGGTATTATAAAATTTTATAGATATACAAAATTAAGCAATTTATTACCTAAATTAAATTTTTTATATTTAATGATAAACTTTGTAAACTTGTTGGTTCCATTTAGATAAGCAAATAGATTTTCAAGACTAAGTATTTAAAATTAGAGAAGATTGATGTATAAATTCTGTAGTGAAAATAAAAAAACAGAAGAAATAGAGAAATAACCATCATTAGTTATAGATATTTTGCATACGGTAAAAGATTCAGCAAAAGACTCAGCTTCAAAACTAAAATAGAAGATAAAAGGATCAGCATAAAAATTTAAAACAGATGCAAATGCAAATTAATAAGCAGGTATTGGGAAAACATGTTTAAATATGGCAAAATTAGCTTGGAGAAAAACATTTCCAAGTCATGATGATGAAGTAAAGGCTAGAATGGAAACAGTAAAAGCTAAATTAGCAGAAAGAAAGAAAGAAGAAGAGAAATTAGCTTAAATGAGTGAAGAAGAATTAGGAGGAGTATGAATTAAAATTTATATAGATTTAAGAGAAAATTCCAGAATGGAAAAGAAATGCTATATAAGCAACTGATTAAAGTACAAGTGAAGAAGCATCTCTAAAATAAAAAATAGCTTAGAAGATTTAAAGTAGACTAAAATAGAGTGAATAAGGATAACAATTTGTTAATAGTGATACTTATAAAGAATATGTAACATTTAAATCAGAAATGAAATAATTTAAAGCTGATTTATCTGATCGAATCTAAAATCATCCTAACAATTTTGTTTAAGTTTCTTTATATGCAGCAGTAATTAATTATAAAAATATATTAGAAAACTGTGACAAATGAAAGTAATGTTGCTAGAGCGATTAAATAAATGAGAATGATTGATCCAAATTTCGATATATATGAATTAGAAAAGGAAGCTAAAGTTATCTTTGAATAAATTTATAATCTTTATTTAGTAGGAGATTTAGAATCTCTTTAAAAAGTTTGTGGTGAAGCTGCTTTAGGATATTTTAAAGTTTTACTAAAAAAATAAGAAGCTGAAGTATTATAATTTTATAATATAATTTAGAAATCAGAACCAAAACATAAGTAATTATGGAATGTGGATGAAATCAGGTTTACTAGAGCAAGTATACCAGATTCTGTAAAATTACCAGTTTTTATATTTACAATTAAAACTCAAGAGATCTTTTGTTATGTTAGTAAGGTATAATTTTATTAATATATAAAAATAGACAGATAAGTCTAAAATAGTAGATGGAGATGATGAGAGAATTATGTCCATGGATTACTAATTTGCTTTAACTCCACATTCAAATCCTGCTTCTGATGAATTTGGTCATATTTGGGAAATGATCGAATTGTAACCATAATAAGTTGTTAAAATGCTCGTTTGAATGCTATATTATATATATTTCATAAACATACCATATAGTTTATAAATTATTTATTTATACATATAAATATTAAGAATGGATTAAACCAATTCAAATCTTATTATAATAGCTCCAGAACACTCATACTCTCTGAAATTAATTTAGTGTACACTCTTATTTGAAAATTTTAGATTTAATTAAGCATTTTAATCAAGATGAATTAATATTTGATAAGATTAATGAAGATTATCAAAAAATTAGTACATAAATGTAATTATACACTTTTATTTATTATTAGTCTAATTAATACTAAATATTATACATGTGATGTTGATGTACATACAATTAAATACAATTATTTTAATTTAGAAAATGCTTTACAAAATTTATAAAATATAAAAGTTGATGGAATTTTATTCATTGTTGATGCTAATAATATGAATGGTTTAGATTATTTTATTAATTTATGTGATTAAATTTTGAATGAGATTCAACCAGGTTTATAGGCTATAATTTATAACAGGAAAGAAGGAACAAAAATTAATTTTGAATTATTGGAAAATGAAGAGAAAAAATTAGAAAGCTTTGTTGAATAAATTTATTTAGATTTAGATAATCCTCCTATTCAATAATAAATTAAATAATTATCTGAATAAGAAGATGAAACACTTGGATTTCCTAGAATCATTGAAATAATGGAATGTAATACTTGGACATATATGAGACCAAAATCATAAGAAAAGAAAGAAAAACAAAATAAAACAAAAATAATTGAAAAACAAAATGAAGGTTTTGATTCTTTAGAATTTGAAGATGATTAATTTGCATAATTAATGCATGATATGACTAAAATAAGGTATTTGTAATTATTTTATAAAGAACTTCTAAAATGACAGATGAAGAAAGAAGAGAAAAAGCAGCTAATCTTATGAATTAATTAATGAATATGTGTTAAGATGAAGATGATGATGACTTTTGATATGTTTTTATAATGTTAAGAAAATAGGAAAAAAATATATTAAATAAATTATTAAATAATTTTAATGGCTTTGAAATCTGCAGCTTTGTTTGAAAAAATGGATCCATTCATCAAATCTTAAGGTACTGAATTGGTTAAGAAAATCAATGCAATCTATTTCTTTGAAGTTTCAAAGGCTAAAGGAGAAACTCCAGAAGTTTGGACTGTTGATCTCAAGAATGGTTCAGGAGTATGCATATAAATAATATATTTATTAGTCTATTGCTAAAGGACGTGTTGGAACAGCTGATGCAACATTTACTATGGTAGATGATGATATGATGGCAATGGCTTAAGGAAAATTGAATCCTTAATAAGCTTTCATGTAAGGAAAGATGAAGATTAAGGGAAATATGGCTGCTGCCACTAAATTTACCCCAGATCTTTTACCTAAAGATGCCAAGCTATGAGGTTATATAAAAAATACATAACAAATCATCACATTACATCACATTATTCAATTTTTAATAAATTTGTAAAATCTTTCTATTTAATTATTTACTCACACTATTCATACCTTCCAAAAAATTTAAAAATTTTATCTAATATTTAATTTCTACATATTTTCAAGTTTTCCTATCCTTTTTAAATTTTTCTAAATTTTCATATAGATTTATTTCTTGCTTAGCTTCATTTTCATGAATTTAATATCAACTAGAACTATAGAATTGATTGCTTTATCATTTATTCTTTTAGTAATACAATTATACTTTATTTAAGTTTCATAATTTATTACTTAATAGAGTTATATATATATATTTTAATTAGATATTTCTATGATTGCTTCATTTTTTGGTCTTTAAGTATTTAAAGTTTCTTCTTTCTTTTAATTAATTTATTATTTAAAATGAAATGAATAAGTTAACCTATATTCTTACTCTTATTCCATAAAAAATAATATAATTATGGATCATAATTGAAATCTTATTTCTGTGATTGTTTTATATACAATCTTATTAAATGATTATTCAAATTATCAAGTCATAAAGATTTCGTTTTTTTTAGTTTGTTTTCTTTAGAATTTAACTATAAATAGATTATTAGAAAAAAAAAAAGTTGTATAAAATAATTTTTCGAAAGGAAATGAATTTATTATGGAAAGAAATATTATGAAAAATAACATTTTTAATCAAATATCGGTAGAGATGATTAACCAAAATATACTTGATCATTTATTTAAAAATATTGATTGAAATATAATTATTTTAGAGATATTTTGTAGGAATAAAGATTGTAAACAATTAATTATAAAGATTTAATTATAGATAACTAATATTTTAATAAAAATAAAATGTATTTTTAAAATGATTTTTTACAAAAAATTGATTAGAAATGATGATTAGGGTAAATAATAAAATGATTTTAAGAGATAAATTGCTATAATCTTAACTCTACTATATTTATGATTATATTTATGAATAAAATTAATAGTAAATATCGTTAATTAAATTTATGGGTTAAGTTTAACAGTCCAAATAACATTTTTTGAAAAATTGGTAAAAAGTTGATTCAAGAGAGAGCAGAATGTAATAATTTGTAAAATAAGGTTTAGATTCGGTTGTGAAATAGAAGTGTACACAAATTAAATGGAGGAAGTAGCAGTGGTGCATAAAGTATATTAAAGTGAGATGCATTATCAAAAAGAATTGAAAAGATTAGAATAATATTAGTTAATGAGTTAGATGCCAGGTTTGATTCGTTTATTAGACATTCAAAAAGAGGAAGAATCGACGTTGTGTAGTAATTTATTCAAAATTGATGCTATCTTTGAATATGGAAGTTAACTACCATCTAATTTGCCTTGGTATTAATTTTTATAGCAAATAATACACACATTAATTGAATTGCAGAATCGAGAGAAATATCATGGTGATTTAAGACCACAGTCATTTATGTATACCAATTAAGTGAAATTACTTTTACCGAATGTTGATTAATACAATAGATTTTTAAGTGGTTTTGAAGAATATTGTTATCTTTCACCTGAGTTATTCTTTTAGTTAGGAAGAAAAGTGTTTAAGCCAGAATATAATAAGGAGAAAAGTGAAGTATTTACAATTGGATTAGTTTGTTTGGAATTGATGTTATCAGAACCAATTTAATAAATTTATGATTTCCAAGAATATTAAATAAATTAAGGTACATAGAGTAATATAATTAATTGTAGAAGTTTTGAATGATATGTTATCAAGAGCGAATAATAAATTAATCAGCAGAATGTTATCAATGAAAGTGGAAGACAGACCTAATTATTTATAGATTTATGAAGAAAGTATTGTAGAATTAATGCAATAATCAATAAATAATAATAACAAAGTTACTATTCAAAGTAATCCAACTGACATTTTAAATGAACATGCTATAGAGATTTAATCAAGAGTATTAGTAAGAGAATAATAATCATAAGCATAATCTTTTATTATGCAATCAACATAATAACATCCTTTATTATGTTAACAATCTTAATAATTTACACTTTAATCATGTAATTTCAAAGATACTAATCCAACTTTGACATCTATGCAATAACATCCAATGTTTTTTTAATAAGAAAATTAATTATAAAAATAATAATTAAAATCCAATCAAGAAAATGAAGAACCTTAATCAATGAAGAAAGTTCATCCATTTTTATCATAAAAGAATTCATAACCTACTGTTAAATTAAATGCTAATAATAGATCTATGAATTAAACACCATCATAATAGATATAAACTTAATAAAAACCATAAATTCCTGCTAATTTCTAAACAATCTAATAAAGTTAAAGTAGTTAATAATAAGTTTAATATTCAACATAAGTTCCATAATAAGCTAATTCTCTTTAATATTTGGCTATATCATAATCTCCAAATCATAGATATTCATAGAAATCTTAATAATCTTCAGTTTCTAAACATTAATCTATTCAACCGACTGAATATGCATTTCTCCATGAATAAGTTCATGTTCCATTTAATCCTGGATCTGATTTTTTGGATTCATCAAGATAAAAAGAATAAGTTGATTTTGTTTCACCTACAAGAAGTAGTTAAAGACCATCATCTAAATTAAAAGACATTTCAAATAAAAAATCAAAAACTATGTAAACAACAACAACAATAAGTAGTAATAATACTAATAACACTACTAATATTAATAAATAAATAGTTAATAAGAAGCCTTAATTGTTGAAAAGTCAAAGACCATAAACATAAATGAGATCGAAATCACCAAATGTTAAGAAAGTGCCTTAAAAGAAATGATAATGTGATTTAATTAACAAAAATTTAAATATAATATTAAGATATCATTATGAACGTGGGTACAAATGTTAGTGATGATTGTGTGACAGAATTCAATAACTTGAAGTTAGGCAAACAATATAGATATGTTATATATAAATTAGATAGAGATAGAAATGAAGTATTATTTATATTGTATATTCTTTAGATTGTTGTAGATCAAAAAGGCGCAAGAGATAGTGCTTATGCTGAATTTGTTAGTCATCTTCAAAATGAAGTAAATTAATTATTTAATTTAAAAGTCCCGATATGCTGTTTATGATTATCATGCTTAAACAGATGATGTTCCACCTAGATAAGTTGAGAAATTAGTCTTCATTTTCTGGTCACCAGATACCAATCAACCAGTCAAATAAAAGATGGCATATGCTGCAGGAAAAGAAGCATTAAAGAAGAAGTTGAACGGGCTTGCTAAAGAAATTTAAGCTAATGACCCATCTGAAGTTGAGGAAGCTGAAATTCTAAAGACTGTATTGAACTGATAACAGTGTCATGAATTCTTATATAGAGAATATAGAATATCATACAATTCAATCCTTTCAAGTTTATTACCTTCTATATAAATTGTCTAAAGTATCATTTAAGAATTTTTTATCATAAATCTATCAAGATATACATAATTATATTTTTATACCATTCTCAAGATTTATTATTATTCTTTATTAACATGTATAATAATTCTTCAGGATGTTAACAACTATATTTAAATAAAAAATAGTATATTATATAAAAATTATAGAATTTTGGATTATTTAGTTCTTTTAAATGAGAATTCGAGAAAACATTGTTTAATTTTTGGTAAATGATTATGTATGTAGCTAAAATATTCTTTTTGTTTAATTGCATAAATTAATCAAAAGTATATCTTCGATTGCTTCTAATAAATTGAATTTATCTTTCAGTCCTCATTACATCTCTTAATAGAATATGAACTTGAGTTAGTTTCTATTAAGACATAGTGGAAGTAATAAATAATTAAGGAGACTTACTCTTTTTTTCACTCAAGATTCTAGGTCTTCTTGTTTATGTAAGCAATTAAAAACCATCTCTACATTCTTTATTTAACATTTTTCTTTTATCAGCTATTAATTATCTGTATTTTCCTAGTTAAAATTTAAGGTTTGTTTTTTATTCTTCTAACTCTTTCATCTTTTCATAAAGTTATTAATTTTGCTAATACAATTTTTATAATTCAATTTCAGCTTGAGATACTTCACCTAAAGTAACAAGAGATGGTTATTTATTATTGTTTCGATTTCTGTATTTTTTAGCTTGCATTTTATTCAAATCTCTAATATCATCTATTCTAACAATTTCAGCTACTCTTTCCTAAATATTATTAGCTGAATCATCTATATATATTTTAATTCCCTTGATATAATCCATATAATCATTCATAATAATTATAAATAAAACTAAAATGGATGACTATTATGAAGATAGTCCAGTCGAGCTGGTAAGGTAATTTTCTATACAAGGGTAAATAGAAATTGAATATATTTTAATAGAGCAGAAATTCTTGACATAAAAGGTGTAATTAACGTGATTTATAAAGATATTCAAGAGCTTTAAGAGGAATTGTATCTGAGTGAGGATAATACTTTCGAAGTAATTCAATTTAATTATCAAGTTACTCATGCATTTCAACTGGAATCGAGAAGAAACCCTTTAAAAATATTTCAATGATCAAGAAGCTTTATTAAAGTATTTACAATAACATGGAATTTATAACAATCATGAAAAGATTACTTACAACAATCATCAAGGAAAATGTGGTGTTTGTTTTTGTGATGGAAATTTAATTTAATTAGGATGTACTCATAGATTTTGTGAATCTTGTGTTGAATAAACTATAAAGCAAAGATTTTCTAAGGATAAATTTTTAATAGTGAAATGTCTATAGAATTCATGCAAATATAGACTTCCTTTCTCAATGATTAAAAAATATTCTAATCTTTAAGAATTTGAAAATTTATTAAGTAGAAGATTCGTTGATAGTTCCAGAAATTTAGCTTATTGTACAGGAGTTAATTGTGATAAGATTTTGAAATTGACATGTAAATCAATAAAAGAAGTGACTTGTATTTGTGACAATAAATTCTGTTTTAATTGTAAAGAAGATCTTCATCCTCCATGTCCATGTGATTTAGTATAGAAATGGTTAAAGGAAATTAAATAAGATGAAGCAAATATCAAATGGATATTAATAAACACAAAATAATGTCCATTTTGTAAAAGATAAGTAGAGAGATCAGAAGGATGTAATTTTATGGTTTGTAAACCTCCAGGAGGTTGTAGTTAATCTTTTTGTTATGTTTGTTAATAGCCTTGGGAACCTGATCATAAAGATCATTTTAAATGCAATAAATACGTTCCTCAAAATGTCTATTAAGAAATAGATCAGGAATTTATACAAAGATATAATTTTTATTATGAAAAATTCTTAAATTCATCAGCTGCCAAAGAAAAAGCTATGAAAAGAATAATTCAAATTAGAAATACATATAATAAACTAATATTTGAGTATTACCAAATAACTTATGTAGATTTTCAATTCTTAGAAGAAATAATGAAAGAATTAGTTCAATCTCGAGTTGTATTAAAATGGTAATTTCTATTATTAATATTTAGGTCATATTGTATTGGTTATTATTTATCGAATGAAAATTAAAGGTCAGCTGAATTATTCGAGCATTATTAAGAATAATTTGAACATGCTTGTGAACTTTTAGCAATCTCTTTGATAAAATTATTTGATGAAATAGATAAATAAAATGAATAATAGCAAATAGATAAACCAATTGATGTAAGGCAAAAAGAATTTATAAATTTAAAAGAGAAAATTCAAAATGCTTCTTTGGTTTGTATAAGAATGAGATAAAATTTAGAGAGAGCAATCTCTTAAGGTGATATAATTATGTGAGATTAATAATAGAAATTGCATATGATATAAATAAAAATATCATAAATTAGGGTAGTGGTAGTAAGTAAATCCATCTTCAAATGCTAATTGAAAAACTTCTTCAATATGATCAACTAATCTAATTTTCTATTTAATTAAAGGTTCTAAATTCTAAATATCACCAACATTCTAGGATGGAATAATGATACTTAGAATTAATATAATAATATTACATTTCAACTCCAAATTCAGCTGCCTAAATAATGTTATCTCTAAGATTATCTTATCTAAGTATAGAACCTTTAAGAGTTAATTCACCTGCAAAAGCAACATTAGATTTAACCTTCTTATTCATAAAAAGAGACACCATAGCAACAACAACACAAACACCTAAACAATTCTAATTTGCAATATAGATATCCCAATTCTGAAATTAAATATGTTTAAAACAATTTCTTAGATAAGACAAAGCAGTTATTCCTTACTCAACTATATATTAATCTTTAGATTATTAAAATAGACTTCCTTATCCCTTATTCTTAATAACTTCTAAAATATTCATTCCATCATTTAATCCTTTGCACATTCCAACTGTTTATAATCTAAGACTAATATTCTTATAAATGATTGTTGCTTCACCTAAACATTAGTTAATAAACCCTTTATTAATATTGTAATATCCCTTTCTTTTACCTCTTACTTATTAAAGTGCTATATTTCTAAAAATAGAATTTATTTATCTCTCTAATTATCTAAGCCCACTTTCATTAGTATAATTCATGATTAAATATCTAATCATTTCTTTATTGAAATCTACTTTGCCAACAATCCCATTAAGTTCTAATTATTTTGGAATTAAATGTAACATAGCAATCTTTTCTTTCTCATCGATAGTATAAGATGGAATTTCTATCATTTCTAATCGATCTCTTAATGCTGGTTATATTTCTTAAACACTAAAATTATTATTCAAATTAATACTAATTTGCTGTTGAAATGAATAGAACTTAACTTAAATTAAATTCTTCATTGACATAATTATCTAAAAATGTCTTATTTTATTCAGGATCTAGAACCTCTAATAAAGCAGAACCAACTGTATATTAATTAATCTTATCTATCTCATCAAGCAAGATAACTGGATTAATACATTTTGCTTTCTTTATTGCCTCCATAATCATTCCTGCTTATGCTCCTACATAAGTTTTTCTATGACCTCTAATCTATGCTTCATCTGATACTCCACCTAATGATATTTTTTAAAATGGTCTTCCTAAAGACTCGGCTATACTCTATGCTAATGAAGTCTTTCCTACTCCAGGATTACCATGTAAACAAATTATAGATCCAGTAGATTTTGTTAATAATTTTATTGCTAAAAACTATAGAATACGTTATTTAGCCATCTCCAATCCATGATGTCTCTTATCCAATATCTCTTTACATTGAGACATACTTATTATACTCTCCGGATGTATTATTCCCCAAGGTAATTATTCTACATATTACTTTTAATAATCCTATTCTAATTCTTGTATTTATGGAACAATTTATTAAAATTAATTAAGCAAGTTATCTCCATTATTTTACATCTCTGAAATTAGTTCCTGTTTTAGTTTTTATTCTAATTCATTATTCGTTGTATATTATGACATTTTATTATTCAAATACTACATCAATGTTGATATTCTTTCATTGTTATCATTCATTTATAATAATCTAATTTTTTGATGAAAAGGAATTTGAATTCTACTTGACACCTAATAATATAATTTTAATAGGTTTTATTCTTCATCTATCTTTTGTTTTAATAGAGCATTTCGAAGAAGAGAAAAGTTTTCCATATAGATCTAAAAATACTAGTGTAATTTACTTTTATGGCTTCTTTAAATGCACCAAGTATTTCAGTATCACTATTTTGAATATCATCAATCAGAATTTCTACGTTTGCCACTAAAAATGGTGAAAATTGGCAAAACGAATTTATTCGAAATCTAGTAAATGCAAAGGCAGTGTATATATTAGAAGACTCTTCTTACTTGCTTCTTATATGTACAAGTGTGCCATATTAGCTATAATTAGAAATAGTTTCCACATTATGCTAAGTGTCATCGATTTATGAAACTAATCCAATATATTATGAATGTAATGATTGATTATAGTAATCTACATTATGAAGTTACAAACTTGAGTAAGGAAATACTACTGCACTTGATATTGGTTGTATGAACAAATTTAAATATTACATAATAATTAATAATATGATATTACTGTAAAATTGTTTAAATTTTAAAACAACTATTTACAAATATTAATATTTATAAATAAATATCATATACATTTAGTTTAAATCAATATGACAATCATTCTATATTAAAATATTTAAGATATTATTCATTAATTCCCTAAATATTTTATATGAATTTATTAAAATAATCATATAATAATTCAAATAAATTATCATGCAAGAATAAAATGACAGTGAAACTGAGTAAGTTGATTTAAAAGAAACAGAATTTGTCACTCTCAAAGATAAAGAGTATCAAATAGATTTAAATCTTATTCTCAAAACTAGCATCGATTAGAATTTTATAGATATCATGACAGAAGATTAGAAGTAAAGACCAGTGCTCATAAGTATTTAGAACTAATGAATTGATGTCTCTTAAAACTATACATTTAGAATTCTTGAACATAAGTATTCATATTTCAAATCTAATCTTTAGAAAAAATAGAAAACCTTGAATTATTTGATAAATTATAAATTCTCTTCCTCCAAAATGTAAATGATCATTTCCTATGTAGAATTAAATTAAAGAAATGGAAAATTTAGAAACTTTAATTAATTTGGAGTATTTGAATCTGAAGAATAATTAAATTCAAGTTTTGAAGGGATTGAAAAATAGTAAGAAACTAGCTTTTCTTGATGTATCTGAAAACTAAATCAATTCCATAATATTTGATCAAATACCTTAAATGATTGAAATTCTGAATTTAAGCAATAATCCAATTGAAACTGTAATTAAATGTACATAAATAATAGAATGTTGATATACGAAAATAATTGTTATGTAATTTAAAATTGATTGATGAGATTGACTCTGTAAAGATTGATTAAAATGAACGATTCTAAGCTTTGGGAATGTATGAAAATTTTTATTATAATCATAGTTTTCCTAAAGAATTAGAAAACTACTAAAAAAAATTAACTTAAAGGAAAATGAAGAAAATAATAAAATTCAAAAAGTTGGAATAAGTTTTGGATGTAGATAAAGTGGAAATAAAGGAAGATGAATTAGTAGAAGAAGCTGATAACTTAACAGAGAAGACAATTATGGACATACATAATTTAACAGAGACTCTTATAACGAAAGCCTAATAGAGCAATATAGAGAAATTATATTAGGTTTAATAGGAATTGTTAGAATATTAGAAATTACATTAGGAAATAAGAATTAAAATATATGAAGAATAAATATAAAAATAATAAATATGAATTTATTTAATAATCAAGTTAAATAAGTTTCTGAATAGATTAGAAATAATCCAAATGAAACTTTTCTGATGTAATACAGATTAAAGAATATTGAAAAGAGTGGAGCATAAAAATTAAGTGCGTTGGAGATTGCAACTTAATTTGAGAATGCATTTTCATAAAAATTTGGTGATATTAAATTATTAAAGGTTGATATTAATGAGCAATAAGAATCTAATATAACAACTGTTTATGAAAATAAGGATCCAAATTGTTTGTATAATAAATTTTTAGATGTTTAATTTTTAAAAGAAATACTTGTAGTGGATGAATTGGAATAGGATGAAGAAGAAGATGTTAATGATGAGGATTTTGAGAATGGGGTTATTTTGGATTATAAATATTAATAAATAAAATCAGCAATAGATTGTTTTTTTGAATTCTCAGGTGATCTTGACTAAGTAAAATAGATGTCTTTAGAAAATAAATTTAAGTCAATTATAGATAATGCTGCAGGTAAGGATTAAAAAGTATAAATAAAATTATTAATTTAATGTAAAGGGAGTTAAGTTTTACCTTTACATTAAGAAAAGTTGTTTTTTAGTAATTTTGATAAGGATCCTGCTTATATTGATTTAATTTCAATGAATCCTTTTATTAATAGTGATATTAATAATATGATGAATTCAACTTTGATAAAAGTTTAGAGTTTTTAATTAGGAATGCTTTAATATAATTAAAAATAGGAGATGGAATTTTAATAGTTTTTTACTTCAACAAAATTTTAAAAATAAATGCATATGCATTATTAAATTTACATAAAGGAAAGTAAAACACATGAGAAATAACTTTCATTGATAATAGGATTTATGCATTAATTTTCAATTAGATTAGATATAGATTTGACACTGTGTTAATGTGTATATTAAGAGGGATAATCAAATTATTATTTTAAAATGCTTTCACCTCCTGTTTGCCATGCAGTATATCATGGAAGATGGAAATATGAAAATAATTTAATAAAATCTTAATTTGTAAAGGTTGATAACATTTTTTTAAATCATTTAGTTAGATCTGAAAAGATTACAGAAATTTAAAGGTTATTATTTTTGAATAATACAATAATATCAATAAAAATGGATTAGAATTGTGATTATCTGAAATATAAAATATAGAGCTTTCATAAAATAAAGATTATTGAATATCCTATTATTCATGTAGAGTTATAAAATGATATATCATATTATCGATTAATGAATAGCAAATATTTAAATTTTTCATTGAGATACAATATACTTGCTGCAATAAGTCAAAATAAGTTCAACATATAAGAGCATATTTTGAATTTAATAAAGATTTGTGAATCTGAATATAAAAAGTAAGGTGATAAACCAATATAGTTTATAACTGGAATATTTGAATAAGCATTTAATACATTTTGTAAGATTGCTTCGAATCTTGGAATAGTGGATGAAAGAGAAATGGACAAAAAGAATAAAAATCACTTACATTATTTTTAGAAAGTATTGTAAAGAACAGAAAAAGATTTGATTGATTAATATGATCCAACAATGAGATTAGCTTATACAAGAAGAGTATCTATGACTCCATCAGGTTTATTATATTTTAATAAGTAACCTGAAGTAACAAGTGGCATTCTTAGATAACATTATAATATAGTTGATTATTTTTTAAGAGTGCATTACGAAGATGAAAATTAAGATATAGTTTTAAATATTCCATATATAACTTAGTCTTACTATTATAATTTTATGTTCCCATAACTAAAAATATTAGGTTAAAATTATGAATTATTTACATGGAGTTCATCTTCGTTAAGAGCAGGTACATGTTGGTTTGTAAATTTTAATGGAGCAGGAAAATAGAGAAATTAGATTATATAATCAATAGGTAATTTTACAAATTTGAAACCAGAAGAAATTGCTAAGAATGCAGCAAGATTAGGATAGAATCTTAGCACAAGTATAGCTGTAGATTTGAATGGCCCAATTAATATATAAATAGTAGATGATTTATTAGATTAGAATAAAAAATTATATACGGATGGTATAGGAAAGATTTCTTAAGATTTAATTGATTAAATTAGATTAAAAATGAGAGTCAATTCTAAAATTAAAATATCAGCAATTTAAATTAGATATGAAGGAGCAAAAGGTTTATTAGTTTTAGATGAAACACTTGGAAATAAAACAATTATACTTAGAAGATCTATGGTTAAATATAATCCAGCTAAAGGAGGATATCCTAATAAAATTTAAATCTTAGATTTCAATAAATTTAGAGGAGGATATCTAAATAGATAAATTATAATGCTATTATTAACATTAAATGTTAAAGATAGTGCTTTTTAAGAACTTTAAGATGGTAATTATTTTTAATTATTTAGAATACCTAAAGAAAATTGAAGAATTATAAATGAAAGATGCTTCTATTTACAAATATTTTAGTGTAGAATATTGTGATGAATAATTTGATATTCCTAATATAATCGATGCTTTAAGAGCATATATAAATGTTGGAATGGATAATAATATATTATGTTAAGGTGTGATATCTAAATTAAAATAAAGAGGATTGATGTAGCTAAGAAAAAAAACAACAATTCTTGTAGAAAAAGCTGCCAGAGTATTAGGAATAATAGATGAACATCAAATATTATAACCTAATGAAATTTATTGTTTAGTTTAAGATGAAAATAATGAATAATAAATTGAACCTGAAAATATCTAAGGTGAAGTATTAGTTACTAGAAATCCTTGTTTACATCCAGGAGATATTAAAAAACTTAAAGCACTTTCAACTTAAGAAATCTTATAACGTAATCATGGTAAAAATCCATATTCTTAATTAATTAATTGTTTAATATTTCCTGCAAATGGAAATTCACTTCCATGTTAAATTGCAGGAGGAGATCTTGATGGAGATTTATATTTTATTTGTTGGGATAATAGATTACTACCTCCTCAACTTGTTAAACCTATGATTTATGATGAAAAAAAAATTAATTCGGTTAATTCTAAAAAAATGGATTTTAAAGATAATAATAAAAAGTTTCATGAAAATACTGATAGAAATTTTGATTTGAAAAATATGTTTGATTTTCTGTTTCTTTATCTTAATTCTGAAACTTTAGGAATGATTGATAATTCTCATTTAGCTTAGGCTGATAAATCTGAAAAGAAGGCCAATGATCCTAATTGCTTAGAATTAGCTGAATTACATGCTGAAGCTGTTGATTTTGTTAAAACTGGAAAATAAGTCTTTTTAGATCTTAAACTTCTTTCTAAAAGTATAGTTTATTTTATTATTTCTTAGTTTTTCCTGATTATATGGAAAAAGAATAATCTGTAACCTATGAATCATAAACTATTATTGGAAAATTATATAGGTAAATTGCACATTTAGGAGATAAATCAGATAATATTTTAGATTTAGGTTTTCTTTAATAAAATTTACCTCCTATTGAATACAGATTATTGTATAATTTTGATAAATTAATTCAATAATGTTAAATAATTAAATAAAATATCAAAATTACAATTAATTTAGGAGAAAAGAAAGAATAAATTGAATAACAAAAAGAAATTAATGAAGAATAATTAAACTAAGAAATAATTGGATTAATTAAAAATTACATTAATGATAATTATAAAAGACATTTAGAATCTTCAATAAAGTTAATTTTTCATATCTTCGAAACTATTTTTGGAATAACTCAAACTTTTGCAGTAAAGAGTGAATTTGAAATCTACAGTGGAAATTTTAGTAGTATGTAAAAAGGTGATGGATTATATTAAAAGGTAATTAAATTTATAATTAAATTAGAAAAAATTGAATGTTGAAAAATACTAGAAACGAATAATTGCTCTAATTATTTAATTACATTAAGAAATAGAACGTAAATTATAGACACTCTCTGAAATTGAAAAAATGTAACGAATTTCTTTAATCAATTTCATTTTAACATATTCTCCAAATTCTCATCCTTATCCAACTTTCACAATATTGGGAGAGTTTATTCAATAATTGATTAATTAAATAAGTACTTTAGAAGATTGGAAAATTCTTGTGAAGAACTATACAATTTGGTATAGGGGAGCTGGATAATATCTTTTTTGGAAGGATTTAATAAAGATATTTAGGAATGATTTAGAAGAACTTATTTGATTAGGTTTACCAAAAGTTTATGACGAAATATATTTCTTAATATATTTTAATAAAATTATAATAAAAAATATTAAAAATGAGAAATCCATTTCGTATAAGACTCCAAATTTTAGGAATCATGGTTAATGATGAAAAGGAATATTTTCAAAATCCAGGAAGCTTTGAAAAAAATTAAACAGTGTTTCCTTTGAATAATAATGGACAAAGTTTAGGAATATATTTGAATCGATTAGAATATTATATTAGAAACAATTATATGAAAGAAGGAAAAGATATAAAAGGAAAATTAACTTTTAGTAATTGAATATTTAATAATTTAGCATTTTTCAATTATATTCTTAATTAATTTGTAGATATCTCTGATTTGTTTTGTATAGATGATAATTTCATAAAGCTTGATGGATAATTTTTTTAAAAAGATGAAAATTCACCTTAGGTTTTGATCATTAAATTAAAATTCCAAATATATTATTAAGAATATCTTAAATTTCAATATTTTTTGGAAAGTATAAATTTGGAGAAAAAGAATTTAGAAGAAAATATTCAATAGTCAAAAAATAAATTAACATTCAATAAGGATAATTTGATTTAATTTAAATAAAAGATTGATGAACTTCAATAAATTTATTAAATACAACCCTAATATCCTTAGATTGACATTGCTATATTATATAGTCATCCTCTAGTAAATTAAAACGATAAACGTATAACTCCAGTTTAATTTCATGAAGACATTTAGAATTTTAAATAAAAGATTTCTGAATTAAATAAAAAAGTTACATATCTAATAACTCAAGCAAATAAAGTAAATCTGTATTGGGTTTTAAAATATAATCCAAAGATTATTCATATTATATCTCATGGTGAACATGTTAGCAATAAATAATGTTAATATTTACAATTTGAGAAGAATTGTATGGATGATTAAGTATTTACATAAGATTTGGAAAGAATAATGAAAAATTCAAAAAAGTCATTAGTTTTTTTAGCTTGTTGTTTTGCTGGAGAAATAGCTAAGAATATAAAAGAACATGCGACTACTATAGCAATTGATAAGGAACTAAAAATGTTAGATGATGCAGGCATATATTATTTTCAACATTTGTATTAAGAATTGTTGTCAAATTCAACTTTATAACAAAGTCATGAAAAAGCCAAAGAATTTGTCAAAAAAAAACTTGGAGCTGAAGATTAGTAATGTTGTTGTAGCCATTCTCATAGAAAAGCTTGTTAAGACACGTTTTTATAAAATGGTTTATGCTTTTTCTGTTTAACTAAGACTGATGATTGCTGCAGAAAATCTAACTAATTCCAAGACAAATTATCACATGTTTGGGGAGAAGATTTAAATGAAAAATGTAAGTCACTTTAAAAGTAAATTTTAAAAAAATTAAAATTTGAAGGTGAAAATAAATTATAAAATGAATAATTAGAAAAAGAATTTTTAGAAAAATTAAATAACTTTGCTCAAAATGGTATTCTAAGAGTATGCTGTTGTGAATTAGCAGAAAAACATAAAGATGAACTTATCTCTGAGATTTAACATATGGAATCAGAAAAATTTCAAATATTTTAATCTAAGCCTAATTAATCTAAAATTTTTGAAAATGTTGAAGAAGGCTAAATGACTGAAATTAATAATATTAATTGGGAAGAATAATATTTTATTGCTTGGAAAATAGATGCTCAAGTTATATATCAATTATTGACTGATAATTTTTATTTTAAAAAAAATAAAAAAATAATTGTAATAAGTGCAGGTAGTAAAAGAGGAGAAGAAATTGTAGTTAAATATGCTCATTAAGTTTCAAAATATTTTAAAGTAAAAATATTTTTAACATTTTAAGTATAGAAAATTAAAATTTTACAAAAAAAATGAAATGAAAGATATCTAAATCATTGAAAAATAATTAAATAATATCGAAGAATTAATTTAAATGAATTTCGAAGAAAGGATTCGTTATATTTTTATAATTTACCAGATTAATGAAGAACTCTTTAAATAAACAAAAGTTTAGTTAATTGAATTAAATCTAAAAGGAGCAGTTATTTTAATCTCAGATTCTGATATAGATTTAGATTCAAATTTTATAAAGCGAGAACTAACAGATTGGCATAATACCAATTAAATTTAAGAAAAAAATGATTATTATAAAATTTTATCAGTGTATGGAGATGAAATACGCAAAAAAATTGAATAAAAATTTGGAGAAGAGAAATTAAAAGATATGACATTTGATAAACTATTAGAAGCAATTTAAGAAGAATTAGATTAGAATTAAAAGAATGAATAAAATAAAATATGAGATTTTATAAATTTCATTTATGAATAATTATTATTAAAATATGAACAAAACATATTTATCAATTAGATTTTATAAATTTCATTTATGAATAATTATTATTAAAATATGAACAAAATATATTTATCAATTAGGTTAACTAAATACAATTTTAAATCCTTCGAAAATTCCTTAGACTCTTCTTTTATTTAAAGAATTCCAACACAATTTCAATTAAGCAAGTCGCTTTGATGAATTTTCATCTTTTTTTCTTATTTCTTATTTTTGTAATTGATACATTTCATGGAGAAACGATTTTTCAAAATCATTCTTTCTAATCCTTTCATTAGTTGTTAGATCTTTTCTAATCATATTTAAATGATATAAGAAAAATGCAGTTAGAGAGATAAAAAAAATAAGGCACACAAAAATTATGAATACAAAAAATGTTTCTCTATTGCTTATTACTAAAAATACTCTTAAAAATGTTGCCTAAGAGATTTCTCCTGTTACAGCATTTTTATATGTTAATTTAAATAATGATTACTTCTCAGCTATTCCAAACAAACAAAGAAATCCAGCAATTACTCCATAAAGACTTAAGAATAAATGAGAAAATAAAAATAGTAGAAAGTACTTATAATTATTCTACCCAATGCATTATCTAACCCAAATACAATGATGGTCAAATTTGCTTACACATACATTACAAATACGACAATGTTTACTTCTTGCAGGCTTGATAATATTACATGTTGTGCATGTAGTATTTTATTTATATTATACTTCATCATAGTATTTCTAATATTACTTCACATATTCATTATTATTTTCTTTATTTACTATTCCTGGACTAATTGTGCATGTTTTATAAAAAAAATAATTGCAACATAAAAATATTAAACTTCCACATACTGAATGTATATGACTTACATAAGGTGTATCTCCAAAATGTTTTNAGAAAAAAATGATTATTATAAAATTTTATCAGTGTATGGAGATGAAATACGCAAAAAAATTGAATAAAAATTTGGAGAAGAGAAATTAAAAGATATGACATTTGATAAACTATTAGAAGCAATTTAAGAAGAATTAGATTAGAATTAAAAGAATGAATAAAATAAAATATGAGATTTTATAAATTTCATTTATGAATAATTATTATTAAAATATGAACAAAACATATTTATCAATTAGATTTTATAAATTTCATTTATGAATAATTATTATTAAAATATGAACAAAATATATTTATCAATTAGGTTAACTAAATACAATTTTAAATCCTTCGAAAATTCCTTAGACTCTTCTTTTATTTAAAGAATTCCAACACAATTTCAATTAAGCAAGTCGCTTTGATGAATTTTCATCTTTTTTTCTTATTTCTTATTTTTGTAATTGATACATTTCATGGAGAAACGATTTTTCAAAATCATTCTTTCTAATCCTTTCATTAGTTGTTAGATCTTTTCTAATCATATTTAAATGATATAAGAAAAATGCAGTTAGAGAGATAAAAAAAATAAGGCACACAAAAATTATGAATACAAAAAATGTTTCTCTATTGCTTATTACTAAAAATACTCTTAAAAATGTTGCCTAAGAGATTTCTCCTGTTACAGCATTTTTATATGTTAATTTAAATAATGATTACTTCTCAGCTATTCCAAACAAACAAAGAAATCCAGCAATTACTCCATAAAGACTTAAGAATAAATGAGAAAATAAAAATAGTAGAAAGTACTTATAATTATTCTACCCAATGCATTATCTAACCCAAATACAATGATGGTCAAATTTGCTTACACATACATTACAAATACGACAATGTTTACTTCTTGCAGGCTTGATAATATTACATGTTGTGCATGTAGTATTTTATTTATATTATACTTCATCATAGTATTTCTAATATTACTTCACATATTCATTATTATTTTCTTTATTTACTATTCCTGGACTAATTGTGCATGTTTTATAAAAAAAATAATTGCAACATAAAAATATTAAACTTCCACATACTGAATGTATATGACTTACATAAGGTGTATCTCCAAAATGTTTTAGTAATCCAAATTTAACATAAAATGCAAATGCCATCCAAAATATAAAAAAATATGCCATTTATCCTAATCGATTATTTGTGTAGAAAACATAATTGTATAAGTCTGAACACTTTTTGAATATCTTATTCCCAAATAATTATCTTTTTAATTAGTCAAAATATATTATACTTTAAAATAGAAGGACCATTAGTATATAGTTTTCTTCTAATCATTCCCATTAGACTTTTGGAATTAGAATCTGTGCAAACTAACATATACATAAAAGAGCCTGTAGTTAATGCAAACAAAATGAAAAGTAATATTTGCTCCATTATATAAAAATATTAGTTTATAATATAAATATTAAATAAAACTGAAAATGAAAAGTAATTGTCAAATGAAATATGAATAGATTATGCAGATTAATTTATGAATTAAGCAAAAGGAGTAACAGAAGAAGAAAAAATAATTGAACTGTTAAATTAAATTTAAGATCAAATATTCACATAAATATCAAATGATGTGAATAATAAACTAATAAAAGAATTATAAAAAACAGGAAATTTAGCACAACCAACTTAATAACCTGAATTTTTGAGAGTCACTCCAAATGTTGATGCTGATTACATGCATTCTCATATAAATTATGCAAAAACTATCTAATAAAATTAACCAATGGATAGACAAAAATTTGAATAATTTGATAATAAGGAGATTGTTAACTTTCCAATTTATGAACAAAATTATTTGGATATCAATGCTAATGCAAAGTTTTATTATCCTAAGACTTAACAAAAGGGATTAATTGAAACCCCTAAATAATTTGTGGATTAAACTAATGTTTAAAACTATTTAATAAATTAAACAAAGGTTTATGATTTCAATCAACCTGAAATTAAAGTATATTATTATATACATTTAAGCAAATATATCCTAGAAATTTAGTTGACAATATGATACCTACTCATCCTGAACCAGAGTATTTAATAAAGTAAGAATAAAAATTTAATTTTTCTTCTTAAATTAATTAAATGGGTGGTCTAATAAACTCAATAGGACGTATTAGAAATATTCATAAATATAGCTATGGCTTAATCATTAAAATAAAATGAATAAAGACTATTTTTAAATACTCCTGAACATTCTTTATTGACAGGAGCACTTTAAGAAAAAATTAATCATGTTCCTCCTCCTTTTGTTCCTGTACCTGCTCCTCCTCCTCCTGATCCTTTTCTTACAAATCCTTAATATAGACTTTATGGAGTTTAATAGGAAGCACCTTAATTTAATGTTTAAAGTTATATTCCAGAAAAAAATTAAATTTAACCTAGTAAGTTAACAGGAAATTCTAATATACTTTAAGTTCCATTTGAAAAACAAGAGTATCAAGAAACTAGTAGAGTTTAATCAAAAGTTTAGGAGGATTTAAAACTTAATTTTTTAGATAGAGCAAGATAAGAAAGAAAAAGAAGAGAAGAAAAATTATTATAGTAGTGAATATCATAAAGCTTTCAAAGTTTTATTTAATATTATTTATTTTATTCTTCTAAAGATTTTCTTATTTTATTTCAATAATTAATTAATTACTTAGAAACTAATAAAATATAAAATTAAATTAATTTATAAATTTTGTTATTCTTTTTTATTATTTTATTGATAATCATTCACTAAATTATCTAACTTAAATTTATTCATTGTTACAATCCCAAGTAATAATATATTCTCCATCCTCAGAGATTGTACCATGAATATAATTATCATCAAAATCAATAATTTATTCTTAGAAAAACTCTCCATTCTCTTTTATTTTAATTAAATTTAAACTACTACCATTTTTGTTAAGAAGCAATGACTTTGATTTTATATATTTTTAAGGAAAATACCAAAAACAATCATTACCAGCCTTTACAGCAATTTCTTTTTGTTTAACAAACATTTTGGTTTGTTTATTTTATTCATAAATGATCATCTATTTTTTATTATAAGGTTAAAATGTAAATAAATTATTGTTAATAAAACATAATCTTACACCCCATTCAACTTTAATAGTTTAAAAAATATTCCATAAAGAACTATCAACTTCTTTTTAACAAACAATAATTAAATTATCAGCTGCACAAGAAATAAATTAGTTTTAACTTTCATTGATACTTATACAAAATACACTACCATTATGATAAGTTAATATTTATGAACTTTACCATTAAGATTTTTTTATCCATAATCTGATAGTTTTATCATCACTACCAGATATTATTAAGTCTTCATCATTATTTATAATCAAACAATTAATATCATCTGTGTGTCCTTCAAGAATTTATTTACAATAAAACTATTTATTGTCTTAAGCCTCCCATAAAATTATTGAGCGATCATAGCTACCAGAAATAAATTAAACGCATTTTTATAAAAATTATATACATCTAACTCTTTTACTATGATTAGATAATTCCTATCTTTATATCAATTATCCTTACTAAAAGTCAAATACTTTTATTTTGCTTGATTCATATCCAGCTACAACTAATGAAGCCTCTTTATTAAATGCAAAAGCAAAAATATAATCTTCTTTTATTTAATTTGTTAATTCATATTTTAATAGTTTCAATTTATTATTACGTAATGATTAGTGAATTTTTCCTTCCAATTTCAATACATTTTTACTGTTATTTATTGCTTAAGTTAAGTTTTTTACACTCTCAGAAATCATTTAATGTAGTTGCAATTTATTCTTTTCAAATGAAAATAGAAATGGTGATAATTCATTATATAAACTCTAATCAAAACTCTTTGATAATTCTCTTATTTAGTTACATCTCTATTCCAATTCTTTTTTTAATACTCCATATCCAATATTTAATTAATTAATCCATTCCTAAAGCTTTTAGATTAAATCATCATACTCTTTTGCTTATTACTAAACTTAGTTTATATATATTGACATTTTTTGAACTTCTTCCATATGATTCTTATGATTTCCATTTTAAAAACATTCAAAACAACCTAAACGGTCTTCTTAGCATTAATCCCTCATACAAATAAACTCAATTTATTTGTTATGCTCATGAGTATTACAAATTAAATCCATTTTAGATAAAATAAACTATGAAATCATTCTATGTATGGTATATATTATATAAAAAAATACTCTTTATAACCTAAATCTCAATCCTATATTCTAATACTATTTTTAATACAAATTCTTAATCAATTTATTATTGAGTTAAGTAATAAGATTATGAATTATATTTATTACAAATCCCATAATCCTTTATTAAATATTGCTATCTATTAATGGTGTCAGAAATGAATTAAAATTTTCTATTAATAATTCAGGGCAATAAAAAATTAGTTTAAAGAAGATTACTGTTGAAAAGGAAACAAATAAATGACTTTTATCAATTTATAATTAAGCATAGTCTTAAACTGTTATTTTTTTAAAGAAAAATAACCTAATTGTATTAATTAAGAATTTAAAAGTACATTTATTAAAAATCAAGAAGATGAAGATGATGTTAACTTGTTTTAATTCTGTTTGACAATCAAATTCACTTAGAAAATTTGAATGGATTTTGTACAATTTAATTCTTAGTTGGATTTACTTCTTATTCTTTATTTTAAACATGATTACATAAATTAACATTAAAATCATATATTTTATAACAAATTTTTTTTTAAATACTCAAATGAGTTAAACCTTAAAATTAAAAATAGAATCTAGTTAATTTATATTTGTTTCATTGTTAATTAATTGAGTTATCAACTTTATTTTTTAAATTTGAATAAAATGAATAGAAATTAAAAAATTTTTATATAATTTTATTTTGATAATTGTAATAATATATATTTATAATTTATTTTTTAACTCGATTAGAAACATTATATTGTTCGTTTCTCTTGAAGATTTAACGATTTAAACACTGAAACCATATTAAGACTAAACAAACTAATATCAAAAATTGAAGTTAAGTAGAATTGGAAAATGTATTTATGAGTCCTTTATTTTATTATAATTTCACTTATATGTTACCATGGCTGTTAAAAAGTTAACTGATAGTTTATTTTACAATAGATTACCAATAATAAGAAGAGCATTTGGATCTGTTTTAATAGATTAGATAGTCTGGAGATGTTATCTTCTTTGCCATTATTTAATTATAATAAATCTTAGAGAGTGGTTCAATTTCTAAAGCAATAAAAATAATTTTTTAAAAGTCATGATTATCAATTGGTAGATTTGGTCAGCAGCTTAAATAATCATGGTTAATTTCACTACCTTATTAAGTTTTCTAGGTTAATTTTATAAGATATTTTGGAATATATATTTGAGTTATATTTCACATAAATGATTTATAATATTAATATTTTAATTTTCTTAAAAAGGATATTATTACATAATTACAATTCTTAACTAATTATTTAGGTAATAGTTTCTCTTTTTAATATTAGTTGCTATAAATATTCTAAGAATATTAATTGACATGTTAATAAGTTATATTGATTAAATTAAAAGTATTATCAATATTTTTAATCTCTTTATTATTAAATTATTAGACAAAAAACAATTAATGAATTAGCAAAAATTTTGAATAATTATATTATATAAATCGAATATTATGCTATATAATTATATATGGTATAATGCTTATCTTTCCTCAATTGAAAATATGTGAATTATAAATTATTATAGAAAATAATAACATAACAGATTGAAACTATTCTATATTTTCATTGAGAATAGAATTTGAGTTTCTTTTTATATTTGAATTAAAAATTAATATGAACAATAATATTTGTTAATAACATGGAAATAAGACTATTACTCATATATGCACTTATAATCATAAATGTTAAAAACTTATGTGTCCTTTGTGTTAATTTGAGCATTAAAAAATTTATCCTCCTGATGAAATAATTCCATTAGATCTATATATTCAATAATTAAAGAGAAATTCAAAAAATATTGAGAAAAATCAATAGGATATTTTAAGTTTAGAAAAGATCATAAGAATGGGTTTAGATGAAATTTTATAAAAAACTCTTAAATTTTGTGATAGCTCCAACATTAAGTTAAATTTCTTATTTGGGGAAATAAAATTAAAGGATAATAATTACAAAGAATTATTTGAGAGACATCCTTTTGAAACATCACTAAGAGATCTTCATAAGATATCAAATATTTGTTATAATAAACTTTAAGATAAGTGGCATAAATAAAAATAAAGTATCATTTCAATAATAATGAAAAAATTTGATTTGATATATTTGTATTTTAATAAATTGATTGCGATATTGGAGACTCAAATGAATAAGTGGGATGAAGAGATATCAAATAAGATTGATAATGATTTTTAATTTGAGTATGAATCAATATAAATACCTGTTGTTTATGGAATAAAGCATGGATAGACCTACTATAAGAAAGATGGTGTTTAAGATTTAGTAATTAAATTCATTAATATAAATTAGTATGGTTCTATATAATTAAATTAATTTGAAGGTATTTAAAATTAATAAGGTCTTATTTTATCTTAAAAAAGATTAAAGTTAACACCCTTTAAAATAAAAATACTAAATGATGAAGGCTAAGTCTGGTATATTAAAGATGGAGAAATATTGAAAATGTAATAGATTTTTTAATCAATTTAGAGAGAATGTTCTTAATACTAATGAGATTCATGAAATAAATAGAAACTTAGAATAAGTAAAACATATGAGATGGGAAGGAAAATTTGGATTAAAATTTTAGAAAATAAGCTAATGGAATGCTTTTTGGTAAGGTAAAAAGTTAGATGTTGGGGGTCTATATGATGAGGAAGGATTTAAGACAGGATAATGGGTTGTATAATCAGAGATTTATTAAAAGTATATAATAATATTGATTTAATTAAATTAGTTAATGTTAAGTATCTTAAATTGGAAATTATATATAAGGACGGAAATAAGGAAAATGGTAAATTTTGCATAAAGGTGAAATCATGTATTTAATGTTAATAATTTAAAAAGAGGAAATGGAGAATATAATTAATAAAATATAAAGGTAGGAGCTTGGGTAGAATTACATAAAAACTTTAATAAGTTTTATTTATATTTTTATTTTGTAGTAAAAATTAAGTATTTGATATTGGACAATATATTAATGGAAGAAAATCTGGTGTTTGGGAAACATATTTTAAAGATGAAATTTAATTTAAATAAAAAAAAATGTATATTGTAAATAATTTTAAAGAGGAGGAGGGAATTATGATTAATAAAATGGTTTGAAGATTGGATAATGGATAGAGAATTATAGTACATTTTAAGAGTATAAATTATATATATTTGGTTAGTTCTTGCAAATTCATTTACAAAGGAAATTACATAAATGGAAAGAAAGAAGGAAAATGGGATATTTATTTACATGATCTGATAATGTATTTATGTTTGAAATACAAAGAGGAGGAGGCAATTATAGAATGGACAAGAAGATAGAAATATGGAAGGAACTGAATGAATATAATGAGTAGTAATTTGTTTCTTAATTTTAATAGTTAAATTTTAATGGAGGGAAGTTATAAAGATGGAAAAAAGGTTGGTTAATGGGTTTTAATATTTAATAATTAAGAAAAGTATTAATACTAAATAGATAGTTAGAGGTGGAGGATGTTATAATGATGAAGGATTGAAGAATGGTTGTTGGACTGAATTACATGAGAAATATAATGAGTAATTAACTATTTAATTTAGATAATGCTAAATTAGCATTAAAGGATAATATATAAATGGCATAAAGTCAAATTCATGGATAATAACATATTAAGATAAACATCTGTAGTTATTATAAATTATTAATGAATAGTGGGGGAGGAGATTATGAGGAAAGTTAGAAAACTGGACATTGGATCGAAGTCTATGAAAATTTCAATGAGTACTAGATTAATTTAATTAATTATTTTTAGTAGATGTTAAATTATTTTAGAGGGAGAATATATAAAAGGATAAAAATCAGGATAATGGATAACAAAACTAAGAGAATCATCTGTAGAATAATTCTAATTAATTATGTAGATTAATAAAATGTATTTTAGTGGATAAGGTAATTATAAAGATGGACTAAAGATTGGTGAATGGATTGATATAGATTTAAATTATGAATTGTATTAAAAACATTAATAATAAAAAAGAACTAATTAAATAACTTATTGTGGAGAATATTAGAATGGTAGGAAATTAGGATTTTGGTAAATTAAATAAAATTAAGTTGTTATGTAATTAAATTTAATACATATAATAGTGGAGGGGGTGTATATCTTTTAGGAGCAATAAAAGATGGATAATGGGTTGAATTAGATGATAATTTTAGTGAGTATTCATAAATTAATTTTTAAGTTTATGCTAAATATTCTATAGCGGTTAGTATAAGAATGGAATAAAAAATGGGGATTGGGAAATTAAAATGAGAAGCAAAAATAATTTAAATGATATAATATTTTAAGGAGGAGGAAAATATTTATAAGGAGTTCAAATTGGAATTTGGAGAGAATTATCTTAGAATAGTTGGAAGTTTAATTATTCTATTAATTTTTAGTGATTGTTAAATAATATATGAAGGATCCTATGAAAATGGAAAAAAATATGGAAAATGGGATACTTATGTATAATAAGATTCATCAATATAAAAAAAAACATTGTAATAAAACTATGATAAATTTATTAGAGAAGGAGGAGGATAATATAATATAAAAGGTTTAAAAGATGGTCCTTGGATTGATTTATCAGAAAGTATTTGGAAGTATTTATAAACTATTAAAATAGTCCTTAATAAAGTTTGATTGTTTAGAAATTTTAATCAGGATTATCTTTAAAAAATAGTTCATGATAATGTTTTTATTTTTATTATATCATTGCCACTAAATATTTTTAAACTATTAATAATTAATTATTTATTTATCTAAAATAGAATTTATAATTTATTAATACTCTATTTTTATATACTCAAGAATGATTTATACAATTATAATTAATATTTACTTAATAAATTTATCAATATAATTTATGTAATAAGAATCATCTAGCGATTCTTTCTCTTATAATTTATAGAATATAAGTTTTATAAAATAGGAAACTTATTGCCGAGCTATTGCTTTAAATAATGATAACTCTATTTTACTAACAGGAAATATATCTATTATTAATGTATATTAATTTAAATAAGGAAGGCTTAAACTAATTTAGAATTTGAATAAACATAAAAAGGGAATAACTACTCTTAACTTCATTAAATCAGGTTATTTTTTTTCAGGATCTGATGATAGCTAAATAATTATGTGGTAGAAATACCTAATTAATCAAACAAAATATATTCAAAAATTAAAAAATCATTCAAATAGTATACTTTGTTTAATTCTCAATTATAATGAAAATCTCTTAGTTTCCTCTAGTTATGATTTTTCAATAAAGTTTTGGAATCTGCCTTTTTATAATTTAAAATAATGGAAATTAATGTAAACAATAACTGAACATACTCAACCTGTTTATGGATTAAGTATGAACAAAGAATAGAATCAAATAATATCCTGTGGCTATGACTCATTAATTTTGGTTATTGAATATGAAAAATGTTAATCACTTTGGATCATTAAATAGAAGATTAATGTCGATTAGTGGGGTTATAGAGTGTGTTTCATCAATACTCATATTTTTACATTCTAACCTTGTTTATCAACTTAACTATATATTTATATTTTAGATTAAATGTCTTAATAATATAGAATACATTAAAAATTACCTGTTAAGGGTGGTGGTTAATTTTGTTCATCATTATTTCCATCCATATTCAATCATAATAACAATATTATCTTAATCAAAAATGGATCTCATATTAATTTAATTAAATTTATTGCAAAGCAAAATAATCAAAAGAATGAAGAATATTTTTTTAAATTAGAATAATCTATTAATTGCAAAGTTGATTATTATGGTATTGGAAATATTTTTGGAACTTTGAGCCAAGATGGAAATTATCTAATAACATGGGATGCATACTCTTAGCAAATTTTAATCAGAGAATATAAAAATTTATGATATTTTAGTTTTATTATTTGACAATCAATTTTTAAATCTTAATCTTTTATGGAGATATTATAAAAATTTACAATTTAAATAATTTTCTAAATTTGGCTACATCACAATAAACCTTCCCTAATGCTTATTTTTTTATCATTATATATAATAGATTTTTTTAACAAAAACATTAATTTTTTTTAAATATGTTTTTCCTCTAATAAATCAATGAAATTTTATTAAATTACAATTCTTATTGTTATAAAATTACATATGTAATTAAATGGATTACTTTTATATCTGATGATCTTGAATTTACCAAGATGACTAATTAAGGGTAAGAATTTTAATCTTAACATTTTTAAAAATATATATAGAAATTATGTTTAGTTATTTCTTAAAATATTATTACTCCTAAAATTTAAGTTGTAAGATAATAATAATTAAAAAGTCTTTAAATCATTAAGAAACAATTTATTTTAGATACAAAAAAGATTAAGAATAAATTGATGATTTTCAATAAAGTGAAACCATTTAAGTGTTAAGAACATTTTTTACATAAATAATAGAATGTAATATATCATATCATTATACCATTATTCTCATTAAGGTATTCAAATTAGTAGTTGGTAATATAATGAAGCGAATTTAATAATAGAATAATAAATAATAATGAAATATTCAATAATATATTTGTTTTCATAATCTAAAATTTAGAATTTACTTTTTCATCCTTTTTTTCTAAAGAAAGAAAATTGATTTATTTTAAATAGTTTAAATACAATTTATTTTTTTTTTCAATTAACAAAAAAATGAATACTTAAGAGATTGTTAAGACATTGAAACTTGCTTGAATTAATTGGATGATAAAAAAATAAAGCTCAATAGCTAAGTTTTCTGAATGATTAATTGTAAGGATATAGCTGCTTGGAAACTATAAATAAATTATATAATTTTGCATCCAACAACTCAATAATTATTTCAGAAGACAATTATTTAAAAATATAACAAAATGCTTATTTTTCAAAATATAATAACTAAGTATTTGAACAATTTAATAATTAGATGACTAGAATTTTTTGATTTAATAGAAATTTAGAAAAATAGAATAAAAATTAGTTTTGTAGAGTTTCTACATTTATTAATTAAATTGTATTATTTAGGAATAAATTTTGATATAATGAATGAGAAAATGAAAGACATTATCTAAAGACCTTCATAAATTTTGGAATAATTATGGATATAATTTTAATTATTGATGTTTTTTTAGCTAAAAGAAATTCAAGTGAATAAAGCGATTAATCAAGGAAATTTATTTATATACTATATTCAAACAGAATAAAAAAGAATATTGAAAGTATTTTAAAAATAGAATCTACGAAAAATTTATTGTTATATATCGATCTTTGGAAAAGTTTAAAAATATATTGGAAAAACTAATTTAATTATAAATGAAGAATCAATTTGGATAAATAGAAATAAAATGGAGAAATTGAGAAGATAAAAATTATAATTTAGAAATGATTAATCAAGATAAAAATGGTTGTTAATGTATTTTGAAATAATTTTAATTTATGTTTGAAAGATTTTCATCAAATGATCTTTCAGATATTAGATAAATATTAACTAAATAAGAGGAGCAATTAATAACTCTATCAAAATATTCAAAAGGTTTCAATCGTCCTTGATGCATTTTTATGAGATCATTTGAATATGAGATGAGATAACTTAAAGATATTAATAAGCGTTTCAAAGAGAAAATATAATAATCTAAAAATTTAAATTAAGTATTAAAAAATCAGAGAAGAAATAACAAGAAATTAATTAATTATAATAAACACTACAAGAATCTAGGGAAAATAACTTTACTCCTATGCATTCATTAATTTATATTTTTAGACAAAAGAATTTTTACAGTAAATATCATGCATTTTAAGAGTAAATAGGAATATTCAATATTCAGATTAATAAACAATTTTAATTGATATAATCAATTTAACCACATTAATATAGAATTGATTTGGAGATAATTTATAAGTGCAAGAAAATTTTATAATTTGAATGTTGTAGATATAATAAATAAATTGATTTAAAAGAACGAACCAATTTGAATTTTTAAATAGAGATGATTGTA